CTCTTTCTCTCTCTTTCTTTTTATCTCACTGCTCTTCACGCACTGTTTTTCCTTCTTTTTCTCTGTCTCTCTCACTGATGTGCTCATGTATGTCAAATCCCCTATCCTCCAGTATGATTTTGAGGTTTCAAACAATGGATCAACATCATGGCACACAGTTGTAACCCACAAGTGCTCCATTCTTCTTTTAACTCAAGTCTGAGTCCAAAGAAGCTCAGCACAGTGCACAGGCTCTGCAGCGCCGACGAGGATCCTAAAATACTTTAGGTAGATTTTCCTCCAGTAATCATTACGAATACAGTTTTCTGTAATGAAGTTTTTCTCCAACTCTTCTAACCAGGTTATACAGCTTCCGGTCATCTTCCAAAGTGGACACATCCATGAACTGCGTCTGCATGTGCCCTGGACAAAACTGGGTTCTGAACCTGTTGTCATTACCATCAACACAGTGGAGTGTATTCTCAAGGTAGGTAACCACAAGGTTTTCTTGGTTGTCACTTGGATTTTTTCCAGAATGAACAGATAGATAGTGGATAGGTTGGCCGAAGTGGTATCCCAGTACATAGTTCAGCTGTGTCTTTGTGGTTGAACAGAGTTTTCAGGATTTGTGCCAGTGTGATTCGCATCCTTGAGATGTCAATTCAACTCACTGCAATCCTGGAGGGGGAAAACTTCTTCTTACTAAAGTTTACGCCATGCGGCGTTGGTAGTCATGTTTGTCTGCAACCTTCTGTCTTATGTACTTTCAATCATCTCTGACACAGATGATCCTCCATGCCATGATTTCAAACTATCCAGCATCTGTTCTCTCAGTCTCCCTCTGCCTCTCCTTCCCTCCAACTTTCCAACTGTCACGATGTACTCCAGTTTTCTCCTCATCACATGCCAAAGAATGTAGACTGTCTCTGTCTGATGCGAGCAGTCAGTTCTCTTTGTGACTCAGCTTTTTTCAAGACATCCCCATTACTCTTTTTATCTGTCCAGGGTATTCTCATCATTCATCTATAAAACTACATCTCTGCAGCTTCCAAATAATTTTTCACTAAGCTACCAACTGTCCGTGATTCATTTTCATATATCAAGATAGGGTTTATATAGCTTTTTAAAATGCTTTTTCTCATCGGAGAAACATTGCTGAGCGAACCAGGAGGGTTGGACTGGATTCCATCCATGATGTAAAAAAGGATTATACAGCATAAAACTTAAAGGAGGATAAGACTGGGAGCCCATGTGACATATGACAGCACAATAGGATGATGGTGACTGGTTTATGAGTGCAGTATTGTGGAGATTACTAAGGATTGTCACTGGTGCTAGGGAATGTGTACTGTGTGTGATAGTTTCAACAATTCTCTGGCTGTTTGGCTTAGAAATTGCAGATGCAGTTAACAGTTTCATGATCCTCGAGCACTGATGTTCGTTCCCCACTGTGGACGATAAAAAACAACAACCATTCTTGAGGTTTTCTGACGATGGTACGAGAGTTGGGCCGTGAAAGAGATTGAGACCTCACCATGCAATATTCCCAAAGGTACCTGTCACCAATCCGGCGTGAAGCTGACCACATCACCCACCGAGTGCCGACTGATTTATAAAATTTAACTCTAGCCCTAAATTCCCAATGAGCCTAAAAGTGTGGAAAAGGGTGTTTTTACTTACTGTCCCACTGTAGCCAGCCTTCATCGTTTCAGCAGCTGCACTGAAACATCAGAGTCCAAAGCCAGATGGGATCAAACCCATTGCATCAAAGTTGATAAGGTCACCCTTAATCACATTTTACATTTTTTATTTGACAGATTTTGTTTTGTAAACATATTTTTTATTTTGTAAACATATTTGTTTTGTAAACACATTTTTTTTTTGTAAACGTATTTTTTTTGTTGTAAACATATTTTTTTTTGGTAAACATATTTTTTTTTTGGTAAACATATTTTTCAAACTTTATTTTAGGTAAGGGATACAGCATATGAATCAACATCCAGCACCCAGTCGACGAGTACCCCAAAACGTGCATTTCAGCAAAAGTGAGTAGATCTGCTACCATCCATTTATATTCTTCTTCTTCTTCTTCTCCTTCACATTCAATGGCTGTAAAATCCGCTGGAAAGTTCTGGCTGTTCATCCACTTCTGGACTGCAGTCCTGTTTCAGAACCTGAGTGTTGCGTGTGCATCCGTTTGACATATCTGACTAATTTGTATGCAGACGGTTGGTTCCTTGCCTCTCAGATGCACTCCGACTTCGAAGGAAGCTCCCATTTAGTCGACTCTTATGACAGGCTTTTGGGGTCTATTTTTATTTTTCCTTTAATGGGGCCCCTGGAACCCACACATGAACTTCTTCTATTCTACGCAAACGGGCATTGGGCAAAATATCTGTTAATAGCAGTGATTTTTCAGCCTTATTCAAGTGGCGCTGCCGTTGAACTTATTTCAAACCCTCACACGGTAGATCAGCAAAACAGATATTGAGCTCCTGTGCCGGAAAATCTAAATGTGCCTGAATTTTAACTGCAAGTTACACTCCTTTTTTCCCCAGCAGTTCATAAGAAGAAAAGTTATTACATTATTACAAGATTCATGAGGTTTTCAAAATGGCAGATAGCAGTGGTGTTTATTTTCGCTGATGTCAATTCTCTCGGATTGTTAATTTTCTTAATCATGGACTGTTATTTTGTGCACATTTCCAACGCAGGATACTTTGTGTTTTTCGTGGGAGCAGCGTGTATTGTGGTTGTGCTGTGTCGGGGCGGGATAATCACTGATAGTTTTGGCAGCCAAGCCCACGCTGCCTTTGCAGTGTTTTGATCACGGCGACCCACTCAGGATCACAGAATCCCCTCAGCAGGGGACTGCAACTATCTAGAGAGCAAACTCGATGAAAGCTGTCCCCAGAAATGGAATGTGTCAACCCTTTATGTTTTGGTGGGGAGGAATCGACACATACGGTTAACTCAATGGCCATGGCCAGATTATTACAAGTACAAATGTACTCAGTTTTAGAATAACTTCACGCTCCCCTTAAAACCTCTGTTGCTCCCCCCTCCCCAGGGGTGTTTCCTTCAGGATGAACACAACTGATTTACAGCCTTCTGTCTCTCAAGTACTGCCAATAATTTTTAACACAGATGTTTCTCTATTTCATAAAACCAAATTCTATAACTCCAGGGCCCCCAATTTTGGGCAGAAAAAAAAAAGAACAGACCTATAATCAATCAGTCCTTATCGTGCCCAGAGGCACATGAGGCAGAGACAAACTGTCGCCACTCAATTTGATCATGAGCCATCCCATCCCCTTTTTCTGACACTGAAAGAGTTCAGGGGGAAAGCAGTAAAAGAAGAAGATAATGCCAAACTGTGTAACTTTCTCATTGGTCTGCCTGCCTTTCTTTCTCAAAAACTTTCTTGTGTTTGTTCTGCTTCTTTTCTCTGCACCTTAAATTTCCTTGCATCACCGGGGCAGGAAGAGATCTCTGAAACGGGCCCTTCTGTTCGCTTTGTTAGTTGTACTTTTCAGTGTTGCCAGTATTTCTGTGGCTCATCTTTTGCGTGGTTGACCTCTGGCTCGGCTACCTTTGTATCTGTATAACATTTCTCTCTGTAGTGCCCTCCCTGTATATTGTCATGATGTATTTCTAATTTTTCAACTGGGATGGAATCTAACTATTCCACTTGTGGTTTCCAGGGCCCCAATTTGGTAGGAAAAAGAATAGACCAGCTGCCCCCCTAACAAGCATGTCATTGGAGATAATTAATTAGGGCTCTTTCCTTCAAAGTCAAAGTGCATCTGCCTAAAAGGTGAGGATCCAACAGTCTGCCTAAATAACCATATCTGTAAAATGGTTGTACATGCAGAACTCAAGTTCTGAAACCAGACTAAAGTCCAGAAGTGGATTAACAACCAGAACTTTATGCTGGAGTTTATATAGGAAACACAAAGAAGAAAATAAGAAAAATAATCTAACTGTTGGTAACTGGTGACATGTTTAAATATTTTTTCAGATTAAGGGCCAAAAAACGGACTCAGTCCACTGAAGAGTTACCTCCTGGCTATCTTCAGAGCATCGTCACTAGAATTATCAACAACGTCACCTTCATCATCAACAACTTGATACTGAAATTTGTTGAAGATGATATTGTGTTGTCAGTTAATATCAAATCTGCAGAGTGCTACAGGTAAGGAATTAATAAACAGAATAGGGTTAAAGAGGTTTAATGCAATTATTATATTTCCTTTTTTTAAAATTCGGAATATGCCTTGTAATTCATGCACGTCGTCTGGCTAGATGTTGCCTATGCAGTCATAAGTTATTGTGTAGATGTTGCCTATGCAGTCATAAGTTATTGTGTAACTCATTATACACATATTCATTGCCTGGGTTATGAGCCATCTGCTGGGTTTTTATGGCATCAGTGTGTATTGCTCCACATGTGGGTGTATTGCTCTATATGTGGGGTGCATTCCTGCAGATGTTGGGTGGATTGCTGCATATGTGAGGTGCCTTGCTCCATATGTAGTGTGCATTGTCCCATATTTAGAGAGTATAGTCCCATATGTAGGGTGAATTGCTCCATACCTAGAGTGCATTGTCCCAAATTTAGGGTGCATTGCTCCATAAGTAGGGCACATTGCTCCTTTTGTGGGGTGCATTGCTTCTTATTTAGGGCACATTGCTCCTTTTGTGGGGTGCATTGCTCCATAAGTATGGCACATTGCTCCTTTTGTGGGGTGCATTGCTCCATAAGTATGGCACATTGCTTCTTTTGTGGGGTGCTTTGCTTCATATTTAGGGCACAATGCTCCATCTGTGGGGTGCATTGCTTCATATTTAGGGCACATTGCTCCATCTGTGGGAAGCATTGCTTGATTGCTACTAGTAAGGGGTCATCTGCTAAGTTTTTACAACTTCAGTTATGATGACGCCACTTTTGTCGACACTTCATTGATCCATGTTCTAACTGCTTGCCTCAACTGAAATGCTATTATTTTCATGTTCACTAGTGTGGATAAGGAATGGAATCGGGCCTTCGTTGATCTGACGCCAGATGACCTTGCTCTGCGTAAAGTGCTGAACTTTGCCGATCTCACAGTTTGTTTGGACAAAACCAACTCAAGTGGTCATATTGAGAGCTACCAGGAGCCCGTGGCATATCGATGTGCTGTCACCTGCCGGATGTACATGGAGTATGAGTCGACAGTTGCCAAGTTTCCTAGGGTAGGTGAAGGCCAAAATTGTCCCATTGCAGAAATGGGCAAATGGAGTCCAGCGTTCTTCTTTGTTGCTCTTACTTCTGGTCAGTATGGCGGATAGGCAGACATACTGCTTTTTAGTCATGACATGTTTGCTTATGTCAGTTATGTTATGTTATCACAGTCAACTTCACTACACATAGGACATTCCCATAGGACATCCCCATAGGACATTTCCATAGGACATTCCCATAGGACCTTCCCATAGGACATCCCCCTAGGACATTCCCATGCATGCCACTCCATGACACCTCCACTGATCGTTCACATGAGAAGCTGGTTATGGTGTCTCCTGTCTTGACCTCAAAGATGGCATAGACGTGCTTCACCAAGTTTCATCCAAAACTTCTGAAAATTGTTAGCTGTTGCATATATTTGTAGTTACTTAGTTGCGTATTCTTGACAGGGCGTTACAAAACCAACCCCCAGCCTTTTTTTGCAGTTGGGGTTTTTCCAGGCAAATTTTACATTCAGTAGTTTGCCATTGCTTTCATCTGGCAATTTGGAAACAGTTCATTTGTACTTGTAACAGTGAGGATTTTCAGCTATAACAGTCATTAAAACAAAACAGTGCTGAAAGCAGAGAGTGATTGCCATTGTGCCTTGTTCAACCTCAGATCCAGTTTAGCGGATATCATCAAGACAGAACACTGTGTTGATCATCACATTGATATTTGGACACTAAATTACCAGTGTTTGGTGATTGTTTCTTCTGTTGGTTGGTGATTGTTTCTTCTGTTGGTTGGTGATTGTTTCTTCTGTTGTTTGGTGATTGTTTCTTCTGTTGGTTGGTGATTGTTTCTTCTGTTGGTTGGTGATTGTTTCTTCTGTTGTTTGGTGATTGTTTCTTCTGGTGGTTGGTGATTGTTTCTTCTGTTGGTTGGTGATTGTTTCTTCTGTTGGTTGTGGTGATTGTTTCTTCTGTTGGTTGTGGTGATTGTTTCTTCTGTTGGTTGGTGATTGTTTCTTCTGTTGTTTGGTGATTGTTTCTTCTGTTGTTTGTGGTGATTGTTTCTTCTGTTGTTTGTGGTGATTGTTTCTTCTGTTGTTTGTGGTGATTGTTTCTTCTGTTGTTTGTGGTGATTGTTTCTTCTGTTGTTTGTGGTGATTGTTTCTTCTGTTGTTTGTGGTGATTGTTTCTTCTGTTGTTTGTGGTGATTGTTTCTTCTGTTGGTTGTGGTGATTGTTTCTTCTGTTGTTTGTGGTGATTGTTTCTTCTGTTGGTTGTGGTGATTGTTTCTTCTGTTGTTTGTGGTGATTGTTTCTTCTGTTGGTTGTGGTGATTGTTTCTTCTGTTGATTGGTGATTGTTTCTTCTGTTGTTTGTGGTGATTGTTTCTTCTGTTGGTTGTGGTGATTGTTTCTTCTGTTGTTTGTGGTGATTGTTTCTTCTGTTGTTTGTGGTGATTGTTTCTTCTGTTGTTTGTGTTGATTGTTTCTTCTGTTGTTTGTGGTGATTGTTTCTTCTGTTGGTTGGTGATTGTTTCTTCTGTTGTTTGTGGTGATTGTTTCTTCTGTTGTTTGTGGTGATTGTTTCTTCTGTTGTTTGTGGTGATTGTTTCTTCTGTTGGTTGGTGATTGTTTCTTCTGTTGGTTGGTGATTGTTTCTTCTGTTGGTTGGTGATTGTTTCTTCTGTTGTTTGTGGTGATTGTTTCTTCTGTTGTTTGTGGTGATTGTTTCTTCTGTTGGTTGGTGATTGTTTCTTCTGTTGGTTGGTGATTGTTTCTTCTGTTGTTTGTGGTGATTGTTTCTTCTGTTGGTTGGTGATTGTTTCTTCTGTTGTTTGTGGTGATTGTTTCTTCTGTTGGTTGGTGATTGTTTCTTCTGTTGTTTGTGGTGATTGTTTCTTCTGTTGGTTGGTGATTGTTTCTTCTGTTGGTTGGTGATTGTTTCTTCTGTTGGTTGGTGATTGTTTCTTCTGTTGTTTGTGGTGATTGTTTCTTCTGTTGGTTGTGGTGATTGTTTCTTCTGTTGGTTGGTGATTGTTTCTTCTGTTGGTTGGTGATTGTTTCTTCTGTTGTTTGTGGTGATTGTTTCTTCTGTTGTTTGTGGTGATTGTTTCTTCTGTTGTTTGTGGTGATTGTTTCTTCTGTTGTTTGTGGTGATTGTTTCTTCTGTTGGTTGGTGATTGTTTCTTCTGTTGTTTGGTGATTGTTTCTTCTGTTGTTTGGTGATTGTTTCTTCTGTTGGTTGGTGATTGTTTCTTCTGTTGGTTGGTGATTGTTTCTTCTGTTGGTTGGTGATTGTTTCTTTTGTTGGTTGTGGTGATTGTTTCTTCTGTTGTTTGTGGTGATTGTTTCTTCTGTTGTTTGGTGATTGTTTCTTCTGTTGTTTGTGGTGATTGTTTCTTCTGTTGTTTGTGGTGATTGTTTCTTCTGTTGTTTGTGGTGATTGTTTCTTCTGTTGGTTGGTGATTGTTTCTTCTGTTGTTTGGTGATTGTTTCTTCTGTTGTTTGTGGTGATTGTTTCTTCTGTTGTTTGTGGTGATTGTTTCTTCTGTTGGTTGATGATTGTTTCTTCTGTTGGTTGGTGATTGTTTCTTCTGTTGGTTGTGGTGATTGTTTCTTCTGTTGTTTGTGGTGATTGTTTCTTCTGTTGTTTGTGGTGATTGTTTCTTCTGTTGTTTGTGGTGATTGTTTCTTCTGTTGGTTGTGGTGATTGTTTCTTCTGTTGGTTGGTGATTGTTTCTTCTGTTGGTTGGTGATTGTTTCTTCTGTTGTTTGTGGTGATTGTTTCTTCTGTTGGTTGTGGTGATTGTTTCTTCTGTTGGTTGGTGATTGTTTCTTCTGTTGGTTGTGGTGATTGTTTCTTCTGTTGGTTGGTGATTGTTTCTTCTGTTGTTTGTGGTCATTGTTTCTTCTGTTGTTTGGTGATTGTTTCTTCTGTTGGTTGGTGATTGTTTCTTCTGTTGGTTGGTGATTGTTTCTTCTGTTGTTTGTGGTGATTGTTTCTTCTGTTGTTTGGTGATTGTTTCTTCTGTTGTTTGTGGTGATTGTTTCTTCTGTTGTTTGTGGTGATTGTTTCTTCTGTTGTTTGGTGATTGTTTCTTCTGTTGTTTGGTGATTGTTTCTTCTGTTGGTTGTGGTGATTGTTTCTTCTGTTGTTTGTGGTGATTGTTTCTTCTGTTGGTTGGTGATTGTTTCTTCTGTTGGTTGTGGTGATTGTTTCTTCTGTTGGTTGTGGTGATTGTTTCTTCTGTTGGTTGGTGATTGTTTCTTCTGTTGTTTGGTGATTGTTTCTTCTGTTGTTTGTGGTGATTGTTTCTTCTGTTGTTTGTGGTGATTGTTTCTTCTGTTGTTTGTGGTGATTGTTTCTTCTGTTGTTTGTGGTGATTGTTTCTTCTGTTGTTTGTGGTGATTGTTTCTTCTGTTGTTTGTGGTGATTGTTTCTTCTGTTGTTTGTGGTGATTGTTTCTTCTGTTGGTTGTGGTGATTGTTTCTTCTGTTGTTTGTGGTGATTGTTTCTTCTGTTGGTTGTGGTGATTGTTTCTTCTGTTGTTTGTGGTGATTGTTTCTTCTGTTGGTTGTGGTGATTGTGTTTCTTCTGTTGATTGGTGATTGTTTCTTCTGTTGTTTGTGGTGATTGTTTCTTCTGTTGGTTGTGGTGATTGTTTCTTCTGTTGTTTGTGGTGATTGTTTCTTCTGTTGTTTGTGGTGATTGTTTCTTCTGTTGTTTGTGTTGATTGTTTCTTCTGTTGTTTGTGGTGATTGTTTCTTCTGTTGGTTGGTGATTGTTTCTTCTGTTGTTTGTGGTGATTGTTTCTTCTGTTGTTTGTGGTGATTGTTTCTTCTGTTGTTTGTGGTGATTGTTTCTTCTGTTGGTTGGTGATTGTTTCTTCTGTTGGTTGGTGATTGTTTCTTCTGTTGGTTGGTGATTGTTTCTTCTGTTGTTTGTGGTGATTGTTTCTTCTGTTGTTTGTGGTGATTGTTTCTTCTGTTGGTTGGTGATTGTTTCTTCTGTTGGTTGGTGATTGTTTCTTCTGTTGTTTGTGGTGATTGTTTCTTCTGTTGGTTGGTGATTGTTTCTTCTGTTGTTTGTGGTGATTGTTTCTTCTGTTGGTTGGTGATTGTTTCTTCTGTTGTTTGTGGTGATTGTTTCTTCTGTTGGTTGGTGATTGTTTCTTCTGTTGGTTGGTGATTGTTTCTTCTGTTGGTTGGTGATTGTTTCTTCTGTTGTTTGTGGTGATTGTTTCTTCTGTTGGTTGTGGTGATTGTTTCTTCTGTTGGTTGGTGATTGTTTCTTCTGTTGGTTGGTGATTGTTTCTTCTGTTGTTTGTGGTGATTGTTTCTTCTGTTGTTTGTGGTGATTGTTTCTTCTGTTGTTTGTGGTGATTGTTTCTTCTGTTGTTTGTGGTGATTGTTTTTTTCTGTTGGTTGGTGATTGTTTCTTCTGTTGTTTTGGTGATTGTTTCTTCTGTTGTTTGGTGATTGTTTCTTCTGTTGGTTGGTGATTGTTTCTTCTGTTGGTTGGTGATTGTTTCTTCTGTTGGTTGGTGATTGTTTCTTTTGTTGGTTGTGGTGATTTTTTCTTCTGTTGTTTGTGGTGATTGTTTCTTCTGTTGTTTTGGTGATTGTTTCTTCTGTTGTTTGTGGTGATTGTTTCTTCTCTTTGTTTGTGGTGATTGTTTCTTCTGTTGTTTGTGGTGATTGTTTCTTCTGTTGGTTGGTGATTGTTTCTTCTGTTGTTGTTTGGTGATTGATTTTTTCTTCTGTTGTTTGTGGTGATTGTTTCTTCTGTTGTTTGTGGTGATTGTTTCTTCTGTTGGTTGATGATTGTTTCTTCTGTTGGTTGGTGATTGTTTCTTCTGTTGGTTGTGGTGATTGTTTCTTCTGTTGTTTGTGGTGATTTGTTTTTCTGTTCTTTGTGTTTGTGTGATTGTTTCTTCTGTTGTTTGTGGTGATTGTTTCTTCTGTTGGTTTGGTTGATTGTTTTTTTTTGTTGTGTTGTTGGTGATTGTTTCTTCTGTTGGTTGGTGATTGTTTCTTCTGTTGTTTTGTGGTGATTTGTTTCTTCTGTTGGTTGTGGTGATTGTTTCTTCTGTTGGTTGGTGATTGTTTCTTCTGTTGGTTGTGGTGATTGTTTCTTCTGTTGGTTGGTGATTGTTTCTTCTGTTGTTTGTGGTCATTGTTTCTTCTGTTGTTTGGTGATTGTTTTTCTTCTGTTGGTTGGTGATTGTTTCTTCTGTTGGTTGGTGATTGTTTTCTTCTGTTGTTTGTGGTGATTGTTTCTTCTGTTGTTTGGTGATTGTTTCTTCTGTTGTTTTTGTGGTGATTGTTTCTTCTGTTGTTTTTGTGGTGATTGTTTCTTCTGTTGTTTGGTGATTGTTTCTTCCTGTTGTTTGGTGATTGTTTTTCTTCTGTGGTTGTGGTGATTGTTTTTCTTCTGTTGTTTGTGGTGATTGTTTCTTCTGTTGGTTGGTGATTGTTTCTTCTGTTGGTTGGTGATTGTTTCTTCTGTTGTTTGTGGTGATTGTTTCTTCTGTTGGTTGGTGATTGTTTCTTCTGTTGTTTGGTGATTGTTTCTTCTGTTGGTTGTGGTGATTGTTTCTTCTGTTGTTTGTGGTGATTGTTTTTTTTGTTGGTTTGGTGATTGTTTCTTCTGTTGGTTGGTGATTGTTTCTTCTGTTGTTTGTGGTGATTGTTTCTTCTGTTGGTTGGTGATTGTTTCTTCTGTTGGTTGGTGATTGTTTCTTCTGTTGGTTGGTGATTGTTTCTTCTGTTGGTTGGTGATTGTTTCTTCTGTTGTTTGTGGTGATTGTTTCTTCTGTTGTTTGTGGTGATTGTTTCTTCTGTTGGTTGGTGATTGTTTCTTTTGTTGGTTGGTGATTGTTTCTTCTGTTGGTTGGTGATTGTTTCTTCTGTTGTTTGTGGTGATTGTTTCTTCTGTTGTTTGTGGTGATTGTTTCTTCTGTTGGTTGGTGATTGTTTCTTCTGTTGGTTGTGGTGATTGTTTCTTCTGTTGGTTGGTGATTGTTTCTTCTGTTGGTTGGTGATTGTTTCTTCTGTTGGTTGTGGTGATTGTTTCTTCTGTTGGTTGTGGTGATTGTTTCTTCTGTTGTTTGTGGTGATTGTTTCTTCTGTTGTTTGTGGTGATTGTTTCTTCTGTTGTTTGTGATGATTGTTTCTTCTGTTGTTTGTGGTGATTGTTTCTTCTGTTGGTTGGTGATTGTTTCTTCTGTTGGTTGGTGATTGTTGTTTCTTCTGTTGGTTGGTGATTGTTTTCTTCTGTTGGTTGTGATTGTTTCTTCTGTTGTTGGTTTTGTTGTTTGTTTTGTTGTTTCTTCTGTTGGTTGGTGATTGTTTCTTCTGTTGTTTTGGTGATTGTTTTCTTCTGTTGGTTGGTGATTGTTTCTTCTGTTGTTTGTGGTGATTGTTTCTTCTGTTGTTTGGTGATTGTTTCTTCTGTTGTTTGTGGTGATTGTTTCTTCTGTTGGTTGGTGATTGTTTCTTCTGTTGTTTGTGGTGATTGTTTCTTCTGTTGTTTGTGGTGATTGTTTCTTCTGTTGTTTGTGGTGATTGTTTCTTCTGTTGGTTGGTGATTGTTTCTTCTGTTGGTTGTGGTGATTGTTTCTTCTGTTGTTTGTGGTGATTGTTTCTTCTGTTGGTTGGTGATTGTTTCTTCTGTTGGTTGGTGATTGTTTCTTCTGTTGGTTGGTGATTGTTTCTTCTGTTGTTTGTGGTGATTGTTTCTTCTGTTGTTTGTGGTGATTGTTTCTTCTGTTGTTTGTGGTGATTGTTTCTTCTGTTGGTTGGTGATTGTTTCTTCTGTTGTTTGTGGTGATTGTTTCTTCTGTTGGTTGGTGATTGTTTCTTCTGTTGGTTGGTGATTGTTTCTTCTGTTGTTTGTGGTGATTGTTTCTTCTGTTGTTTGTGGTGATTGTTTCTTCTGTTGGTTGGTGATTGTTTCTTCTGTTGTTTGTGGTGATTGTTTCTTCTGTTGGTTAGTGATTGTTTCTTCTGTTGGTTGGTGATTGTTTCTTCTGTTGTTTGTGGTGATTGTTTCTTCTGTTGTTTGTGGTGATTGTTTCTTCTGTTGTTTGTGGTGATTGTTTCTTCTGTTGGTTGGTGATTGTTTCTTCTGTTGTTTGTGGTGATTGTTTCTTCTGTTGGTTGGTGATTGTTTCTTCTGTTGGTTGGTGATTGTTTCTTCTGTTGTTTGTGGTGATTGTTTCTTCTGTTGTTTGTGGTGATTGTTTCTTCTGTTGGTTGGTGATTGTTTCTTCTGTTGTTTGTGGTGATTGTTTCTTCTGTTGGTTGGTGATTGTTTCTTCTGTTGGTTGTGGTGATTGTTTCTTCTGTTGTTTGTGGTGATTGTTTCTTCTGTTGTTTGTGGTGATTGTTTCTTCTGTTGTTTGTGGTGATTGTTTCTTCTGTTGTTTGTGGTGATTGTTTCTTCTGTTGGTTGGTGATTGTTTCTTCTGTTGGTTGGTGATTGTTTCTTCTGTTGGTTGACACTTTGTATTATATGTGTGTTCTTTTCCATGTTCTTGTTAACAATACTTGGCATTCATTTTTCTGTCCTCCTCTTTTTTTAGTCACATTTTGTTATTAAAGGGGGAAAAGGGGAGTGTCTTGCTATATACCCCAGGGTGGGGGGCACCACCAGAAACTGGATAAAGGTTGGAGACCACTGCTGTAATTAAAGGGAGGGCATCGTGGTAGTACAGTGGCTTGCACTCTTGCTTGCCTGCTCGGTAGCCATACTTCCCGAAGGTGTCTCCACCTTGTCGCGACAGGGAAGCTTGAGTCTCTCCCTTATTCTGACAGCTATGGGCTGGAGAGAATGAGGCACCTGGGTGTAACCAGATCGTCTGGCCAGCTCACTACACTCAGAGGAAAGGCAAGATGGACATATTACCAGATTGTGAATGGTACCATCAGTATTGGAACTCTGCGCTGGCTGCTGAAGATGAGGACGGAGCATGCATGGGAATGCCCCGAGTGCTGTGATGTCAATTCTTAACTCAACTCTGACAGCTACCTGCTCAACCACTTGTATCAGCAGTTTTTCAGCAGAGAAGATGGCGCTATATTGGATACTTTCTGAGAAGAGACAGACCGAGAGCCACCAGACAGGCCCTGAAATGGGAAATAGAAGGATTGAGAAAATGAGGACGACCATGATATCAAAGTGATTGCACAGGGTATCACACAGGAGAAATCAGCTTTGAGCCTTATGGGACTTATATGGCACAGAAAGAAAGTGAATAGGAATCGAAGAACCTGACAATGCTTGCATGTATTATTATAAAACTTTTTATTCAAAAAGACACCTGGCCTCGAGAGCAAAGGGTGCAGAGCAAGCTATGGGGAAACCATGAAGGACCTGCTACTGACATGCAAGTTCATAGAGGCAACCCACCTGATGGTCTGATCTGAGCATGCGAAACCGAACACAAATAAGATGAAGAAGAATAATACTTTTTATAAGCTTTTATTAATTGTGTTCAGAGTGTTTATTATTTTATTTTGTCCATGTCTAGGTTACAAGATTCAATCTGTATTGTGACACGCTGAACCTCTCTCTAACGGACACTCAGCTTCCGATGTTGGTTCGTCTCATTGAACTCTGCATTGCCTTGTACTATGGCACATTAGATCTACCTACATCGCCTTTGGAGAATGAAGCAGTGGAGGAGCCCTCTAAGAGCTCCTCTGAGGCTGTAGAAGACACATCAGAGATAGGTATATTTATTTACCTTTGGTAATTTGGTTTATCTTTAATGATTGATTGATTGGCAGCTTTCCGTCTTTGCAGATGATAGTGTTATATTGAGGAGGCATGGGACTCACAGCCCATGGTGATGATGAGTGTGACCGGCAAAACCCACTCGCGTTAAGAGAAGTCTTCCACAGTTATAGCCTGAGATTTTGGGACTGTTGATGTCAACATTTGTGTTTAATCTGTTTTTACTCAGATGCTTAGCTCTCATCCTTTCTGCAATAATTTCTTTCCTTCATTCTCTATACCCGCCTGGTGTGCCCCCTCCGTACAACAGGGTCCATGGCATTTTTACATTTAATATTTTACCATTAATCAGCATGTCCTGTACAAAATGTCTTCTCATCATGGCCCACCTGAAAGTCTCTCTGTAGCAGATTCTCCAGCCCAATGTGCATTCACAGATGGCAAGTTGAGTTGAGTCAAGAATTGACATCACAGCACTCGGGGCATTCCCATGCATGCTCCGTCCTCATTTTCAGCAGCCAGCGCAGAGTTCTAATACTGATGGTACAGGTCACAATCTGGTAATATGTCCGTCTTGCCTTTCCTTTGAGTGTAGTGAGCTGGCCAGACCCGCTGGTTACACCCAGGTGCCTCATTCTCTCCAGGTCATAATAATCTTGTTTCTCTACTGATCACAGATGGCAACTAATTAGGGCGTTGCCAAAATCTGATATGTTGGTGCCGAAAGATGCAGATATCCGAAAGATGCAGATATCACTGCCTAGCTGTAAACCACACAACAACATGCCAACCTCCCTTGTAAAAACAAACAGAAGAAGTTGATGATAGGTTTTTCATTCTTATCGTGATAAGAAACAGGTCATCCTAGAAACAGGTTCCATAGTGGGGTCCTGGCTAACTTAGATAGGATCAACATTTTCTTTTGAAGGCTGAACGCATCTGCTTGAGAGGCGAGGAATCAACAGTCTGCATATAATTAGCAGGGGTAGTCGAAGAAGAGGAGGACAGAGAAGAACCTTGAATGGCAACATCAAGAAATGGACAGGACTAAGTTATCATACACTTATTTATCAACTTGGTGGAATACTGATACATGATAAGGCAGACGTGGTTAGTGCCTTGTGGGAGAGCTTGTACAATTCGGAGGAGCAAATGGATCACCACAGTCTGGTGAGATTGATGCAGTTGGGTGTGACGAGAGGTTCTGGCAGATGCTCGAGGCTCAGAGGAAAGGCAAGACGGACCTTTAATCAAAATGCTGCTGGAGATGGGGACAGAGCGCTTATGGGAATGCCCCCAGTGCTGTGATGTCGGTTCTTCAATCATATCAAATCAAAATCAAATCACACTTATTTATCAGGTGGAAGAAAGAGAAAGATATGTGGGGGGGGGGGGGTGTTTTGTGCTAGAGCTTCCATCGTTTCCATCATAATGGTGAGGGAAGTCACTCTTATCCAGGGCCTGAGTTCTTTACTACATCCTTGGGGGTTATAAAGGCAGAAGAAGAAATACTGGGTTCAGTTCAGCTGCAAGGCGTTAACAACACTGGTTCTGTCTCTCTTATAGTTGTCAATAATGTAATGTTTTCATCAGCTTTTCTCAAGCTGACCATGTTGTTAGCTACTCTGGCTTTTCAAGGTATCTACCTCATTTGACTCAGAAACCACATCTTTGCAGCTTCAGGTAATTCCTAGTTATGGCCATTCACTGATTTCATGCCAGTCGGCAAGGCACTTGATGATGAAGATGTTGATGATAGTTATAATGTGATGTGTTATTGCTTTTATACACATTCATTTTGCAAAAGTAATCTGGTACAGTAATCTAGTACAGTAATCTAGTACAGTAATCTAGTACAGAATCTAGTACAGTAATCTAGTACAGTAATCTAGTAGGTCATCCATAATCTGTTTAACCCTTTCGCTGCTATGGACGAGATAACTCGTCTACCCGGTAGACTGCTAAGGACGAGTTAACTCGTCTTCCATTTTCTGGGCCCTCGGTGCTAAAGACGAGATAGCTCGTCCTCGACTTTTCTTACAGATTGCTAAGAACAGTAATTCTTGGGGGTGAAAAAGGAATATACATTACCTAAATCTGATCAGACTGACCCATTTACATACAATTATAACCCTTATCACGTCCGTTTAGCCGTATTTAGATGCATTTCACGATATCCTGTTGCTTTGTTACCATAGAAGCATGGTCGGTGAACGGTAATTTTTTTGCCCCAAAATATTTTTATGGTTTCGCAATAGTCTACATTAAAAAAAAAAAAAAAAAAAAAATAACAAGAAAATTGGTTAATTAAAGTTAATGACGAATTAATGGAGTTTCTTTCAATAAGTAATAGTAAGAATCACTTTAAAACGTGTGTTATATGAGCTGGGTTATCTTTGCGGCACGCCGGCGGACACGTGTACTTCTGGTCGTGAGCAAGACTGACAATATTACCCAGCTATCTACATCGACTGGATTTGACATGGATCCCCAATAATCAAAATGAAGATTTAGTCACGTACTGACATGATGATTAATATTAATGTTCCTAATAAACTATAGAACTGACATAAATGTGCTTGTCTGTCAAAGTGTACAATACTAGTCCTATTTTCAGTTCATAATTCCATGTGAATTTCTAGTGTAGTTGGTATCACGTCTGCCTCACAATGCAAAGGTCCAGAGTTCAACCCCTACATGCTGTTTATTTTTATTTTTTTAAATGTTAGTAAGAGAAATTCTACAGAAATATTGCAAGGAAAAAAGAAGTGTAGGAGGACAAAAAAGTGAAGATCTACCACTTTGTTTAGTACAAAGGCATTTCCCTTCATCAATAAAGTCCGTAACATCACAAAAAAATTCTCAACAAGAAAGTGTGGTATGCGCAAAAAGCAAAAAATGACGGGAAACCAGATACATGTGCAAGGAATGTGATTTGGCATTGTGTGTCGCACCTTGTTTTGAAATATTTCACACAAAAAGATATTATTAATAATAATAAAAACCATGTATTTGCTTACTCAAGTGTTTTGTGTTTGCTTTGTAAGTTTGTAGTGTTTTCTTTTTGTTAATGAGTTTTAATGGCGTAGAAATAGCGCGTCTGACTTGTCAGCGCAAAGTTCAACCACACGCCTTCAGAGTTTTTATTTTTGGTGTACAATTTTTACCCCGCGCCGCCAGCGCATCTTCTGCTTTTGAAGGGAAAAACGGTATTCAGCGCAGGCGGAAAGATTAGCTCTCGCCTGACTTAGCACAGTGGTTACGTTGGCTGGCGGAGGGCGTAGCAGCGAAAGGGTTAAATCACTGTTGATCACTGGCATCATGAGAGCTAATAGACTCAAATGGCTAGAGCATATTGAGAGAAAAAAAAATCAATATGCTCCAGCCATTTTATGGAGCGGAATGCTGGAGAATGACCAAAAAGGATGCACACAAGCTGTCCACCTTCCACAACACATGTCTACGTAGAATTATCAAAATTTTCTGGCCAGATACAATCTCAAACACTAAACTACTTCAAGCCACAAACCAAGAAACATTAGACAGTATGATAACCAAGAAAAGATGGAAATGGCTTGGCCACGTTATGAGAATGAATCCTGATATACCTGCCAATACAGCTCACACATGGACACCAGAGGGAAAGAGAAAACAGGGGCGCCCAAAAACAACATGGAGATGAACGATGGAAAGTGACCTGAGTACGGCATCTTTGACATGGAAAACTGCACTGAAGATTGCACAGGACAGGAAAGCATGGAAAATCCTCTCTGAAGTCTCATGTGCCACCAGGCATAACAAGAACTGATGAGGATGGTGATATTGAGAGAATGTCAGATGACAGAGATTTAAAAACTGTTAACACAAGGGAGATGAATGGTCGTAGACCACGAGACAAACTAAGAAAACGATGGAGAGATAATGTCCAGACCCACTTGCAAACACTTGGTGTCACCAACTAGAAAGAGATGAGTGGAGGCAAGTGATGTCTGCAGCAGTGAACCTCAAGGGCTCAGAATGCTGAAGAAGAAGATTCTAGTGCAGAACTGTTTAAAAAAAAAATCTTTTAACTGCATTTTGAACTCATGTTCTGAATTATTTTTGTGCAGATGTAGATCCCGAGATGGACGCTGCATTGGATCAAGGTTGGGTGTCATGGGCATGGTCTTATGTGCCCCAGATCCTACCAGAAGAGGAGGAGCTAGATGCTGAGAGACAGCTGTCAGAGCTAGAAAGGAGAGGGAGACCTGCAGCTCATGTCCTGTCTCTGGGGTTTTATATCCATCAGGGCACAATTGTCTTTAAGGTTGGCAATATGTTTTTGTTGATTTGGAATGCTTCAGGATTGTTTCTAAATTAAAACTAGGGCTAACATCAAAATATTTAGCTCTTATGTTAAGCTCTGAGTTAAAATGAAAGTTGAAACTGAGAGGATCAGCTTCATTGCACCAGGCTCGGTCTCTCTCTGCTAAACAGCTAGTTACCTCTGAGAGTGTCACACAAAGAACAAACTCTTTAGCTCTATTAACAGGGATCTTCCTAAAAATTTACATTTGTGAGCCCAACGATATAGCCATGAAACGAACCCATAATCTTCAGAGCATGAGGCGAATGACTTGACTATGCTTGTCATATAAAGCTGAAACCTGGACAACAACTAAAACAACTACTAATAAACTGCAGACTGTCGTTAGCTGGTGCCTTCATAGAATCTTCTTCTTCTTCTTCTCTTCCACCTTGTCCGGGGAGATGTAATGTTCATTGATGAGCTCTGTCAAGAGCACTTTTAAAACTGATGTTCATTTCTGTAAAGCTGTTCTTAATGCCATCACTTCATCTTTTCCGAGGTCGTCCACTCGCTCTATACCCAATGTAACGTTTCAGTGTGGCTCGCTGTGGCAAATAGTACCAGGGCATTTTCATTAGGTGTCGAAACTACTTTATTTGTTGTTCTTTGATGACCTGTAAGACTGGCTTTATTCCTAGCATTTGTCTTCTTCTTTTTTCTTCTTCGTGTTCACCAGCTGTACACTCTGGCGGAAGGTTCTGGTTGCTCGTCCACTACTGAACTGCAGTCCTGCTCCAGAACCTGAGTGTTGCGTGTGCATCAGTTTTACAGATCTCATTCTCTTGAATACAGACTGTTGGTTCCTTGCCTCTCCGGCAGATGCACTCCGACTTCAAAGGAAGCTCCCCAATTACTCGACTCTTACGACATGCTTTTGGGGAGGCAGTGGGTCTATTCTTGTTTTCCCCACAATGGGGCCCCGGAACCCACACGGGGGAGCATTTGTCTGATTTTGTGATTTCATATTCTGTCTTTCCTTGAAACTCCTGCAGCTCTTCTAAGGCATTTCATCTCTGTTGTCACAATTTTACATTTATTGGAGTGTGTAAATGTCCATGTTTGGCACTGATAGGATAGTGTTGGCCAAAAATTATTCTGATAAGATTCACTTTAGTACTCTGGGGTATCTCCTTGTTGTATTCTGTACAGAATAGAGGCAATTAAGTGGTTTGATAGGGTGAAAGCAAGAGGTTGCCATAGAAGAATATGGATTGATAACATTACAGACCTTCTACACGGACATGGAATTTTAGTAGCCATTGTGACCCATTAAGCAGTGGATCACAAACAGTTGCTACCTGGCCTCAAGAGCAAAGCTATGGGGAACCATGCAGGACCTGCAGCTGACATGCAAGTTCATAGAGGCAAACCCACCTGATGGTCTGATCTGAGCATACGAAACCAAACGCAAAGAAGAAGAAGAAGAAGAGAAACGGTTGCTACCAACAGTTTTCTCCATCTTATAAGATGACGAAAGGATGAAGATTGTTTCCTTTTGATGTGGACTGTCAGTTCTCTTTGTGAGTCAGTTTCGCTCAAGGCGTCTTTACTGCTCTTTTTTATCTGTCGAGGGTGTCCTCATCATTTGTTTATAAAACCACATCTGGGCCACTTCCAAATAATTGTTCCCTAATCATCCAGCTGTCCATGATTCACTTACGTATATCAGGATAAGGTATACAGCTAGGCTACTATATTTCTGCCATTCTGCCATTCTGTCCATCACGTCATTTTTAAAAAAAATAATCGGTAAAAAAAAAAAATCTTAATCTGTCTCTCAATATGGGACGTAATTTTTCATTGTTTCAAAGCCCCATCCCGGCTGTTGTCGGGGGCCCTGTTATACCCTGACAGTTCAATGGGATTTTTCTCTGTGTGGGTTCCGGGGTCCTAATATAGGGAAAACAAGAATAGACCCACTGCCTACCCAAAAGCATGTCGTAAGAGTCGACTTATTGGGAGCTTCCTTCAAAGTCAGAGTGCATCTGCCTGAGAGGCAAGGAACCAACAGTCTGCATACAAATTAATCAGATCTGTCAAACGGATGCACACACAACACTCAGGTTCTGGAACAGGACTGCAGTCCAGAAGTGGACGAGCAACCATAACTTTCTGCCAGAGTTTACAGCTGGTTAATGGGAAGAAGAAGAAGAAGAGAATGGGGTTTCTGGGACCTCTCCCCGGGGGATGCTCATCCGCATGTTGGCTCGGTGGATGTTCTGAAGGGGTTTAAAAAACATCAGATTTCAGCAAACGCTTGATTAGTCGCCCTTTGCGACCTACTTTTTAAAACTTTTAGTACCATTTAACTGCTTTTGAGGTCACAGGTGAGGAGCATTGTCTGGATCTTTTCTCCAGGTTATGCCAGTGTGTTGGGAAAGGAACAGTTGGACAGACTGGCTGGTTCTGCTCAAGTTGGTGGAATATTGATGCATGATAATGCAGACGTGGTTAGGGCCTTGTGGGAGAACGTGTACAGTTCAGAGGAGCAAATGGATCGCCACAGTCTGGTGAGAGTGATGCAGCGGGGATTGATGAGGGGATCTGGCTGACACTCAACGCTCAGAGGAAAGACAAAATGGAACGAACGAATGAACAAACTTTATTTTCGAAGGGTTACAAATTGGGCACACAAGCTGGTCTTATATGTAGCCCTTCCAAACACCCACCTTTTACACAGCAGTTGTGTTTTATCAGTGATGCATGTTATGTTCATATAATAATATGCATATTATGAATATCCAGAAAAACATAACAGCATGGGTGGTGAAATGCATGGGCACACTCACTTGCGCACACACACACCGACAAACACATACCAACCTTTTCGTTCACTCACACCTACAGACACAAATACATATTCCATACACCCCGACATATTCCATACACAACCACATATTCCTTATGTGTCTTCACCTCTCTTGAATTCATCGCACTTTGTTTACATTCACAGCTGTCAGAGAAATCCAGAGAAAGCACTGAGTTGCCTCACAGAAAGATACACTTTCATCCCTTCCTGAAGCTGAGCTGTGAGGGCCTGGGGATTGAGGTGCTCCTGCAGGGTGTCACCTTCTGTGATATACAGTGTGGCTTCACTGCCTTCCGGCTGTCCACATGTGGGAGCTGTATCTGCGGGGTTCCTGATGAGAAAGTGGCCAGGGTTGGTATAGTATTCAAGCAGTTTTATATAGTGGCAGTATAGGTTCAAGAAGCGGCTGGTCGAATGGTTAACAACACAGGGCTCTGATGCAGGAGACCCCGGTTCAGATCTTCAGCAATGTAATGGGGGATATTTTCACCCAGATTAGGAAAGTTGGGGGGAAAGCTCAAGGTTAACAAAAATACCGAGATATTCCAGATACTCGGATTAAACGAGGTTTTCAAGATAGGTGATGACCACAAGTTATCACGTGTAACACGATGACGCGACCGAAGGTCGCCACTTGGAAGTAAAGGACCAGCACGTGTTGCCACGTAAAACTAACCCGTGGTATAAGTTCAGACTCCAGTCTGATCAAGTAGTATGTGTTGAACTGTCGGAGCGAAAGGACGGGAGACTGATTGTAAGAATGTCAACGTGAGATTGCTTGATGTGAAAGGGAAAACCAGACGACGACATTTGAAGCCAAGACCAGCCAGGCTAGTCTGTATAATGTCAAGGAGATGAACCAGATACATCTTTGCAAACTCTGGTCAGTGACTGCGGGAGGAACCAGCATGTTGAAGTCTGCGTGATGTACTGTGTGAAAGCTGTCTCGCAGGACAACGAATGGACGATGATGTAAGTTCTAAGATGTTAATAAAGTGATGTTTCGTACGGCTAAGTCGGTGTTGGCTTGTCCCAGTTATGTCATCGTTGAATGTGTGCTAAGGGCATTCACTACACATATCATCGCCTAGACAATGATTCATTGCAAGTAAGGTTGGGGATTTTTTTCTGTCTGGAGCAGAGAATGAAATCCTACCTAACCTGCACAGAAGTAGTAGGTAGAAGTGTAGGTTGAGTAAGTCAGTCATTGTAAAGGACCTTGTAGAAGTGTAGGTTGAGTAAGTCAGTCATTTTGAAGGACCTTGAAGAAGTATAGGTTGAGTAAGTCAGTCATTGTAAAGGACCTTGAAGAAGTGTAGGTTGAGTAAGTCAGTCATTTTGAAGGACCTTGAAGAAGTATAGGTTGAGTAAGTCAGTCATTGTAAAGGACCTTGAAGAAGTGTAGGTTGAGTAAGTCAATCATTGTAAAGGACCTAACAAGAAGAAGGGCGTAAAGAAGAAGAGAAGAAGAAGAAGATGAAAAACTGAAAAGAAGAAGATGATGAAGAAAAAAAGGAGAAGAAAGTAAGAAGCAGAACAAGAAGAGGAAGAAGAAGTTAAAGTACCATTGAAACCATTGTATGGCACATTCATAAATATATGATTTTGCATACTTTTACAGTGTAATACCCTTCTGAGTGGTGGAGAGCCCCTGGGAAATAAAGCTGGCATAAACTATATTTCCAACTCATTGTTTGACAACCTGTCGTTTGAGAACAGGGGGAAAAGGTCACAGCACATCCTAGATGGAGAAGAACATCGTCAGGTGTACACAGAACAGCACGCTCTTCAGCGCTATGGTGCATTCTGGGTGGATAGTTTATATACCTTTGAAAAACCTGAAAAACATGGAGGTAAGAATTGTTTATCATTGGAGTATTCATGTGTCATATGCCAGTTAGGAGTATTAGGAATACATTTTTAATGTGTGAGTTAGGAATATCATTAGAAAAGATGAGGTTTTTTACTCTCATATAGATCACTCAACATATAATTTAGCACCTATATACTCTAGACAGTGCCTCTTTAGCTTGTCAGCACATATGTACCCTAGACAGCACCTCTTTAGCCCTGACAGCACCTCTTTAGTCTTGGTAGCACTTCTCTTATATTTTCAGTGCCTATGTACCCTAGACAGTGCCTCTGTAACCTTGACAGTATCTCTGTAGTCTTGGCATTATTTCTCCACCCCCCCCCCCCCCCCCCCCTCCTCTAAAGCCATGACAGACACCCTCATAGTCTTGACAACACCTCTGTATCATAGATGGCACCTCTATATCCTAGATGGCCTCTATGTATCCTTGACAGTACCTCTGTATTCTAAACAGCACTCGCATAGCATTGACAGCATCTCTGTAGCATTGACAGCACCTCTATAGTATTGACAGCACCTCCATAGCATTAACAGCACCTCTGTAGCATTGACAGCACCTCTGTAGCATTTACAGCACCTCTGTAGCATTGACAGCACTTCTGTAGCATTGACAGCACTTCTGTAGTCTTGACAGGACCTCTCTAACCTAGACAGTACCTCTCTATCCTAGACAGGACCTCTCTATCCTAGACAGGGCCTCTGTATCCTAGACAGCACCTCCATAGCATTGACAGCACCTCCATACCATAGCATTGACAGCACCTCCATAGCATTGACAGCACCTCCATAGCATTGACAGCACCTCCATAGCATTGACAGCACATCCATACCATTGACAGCACCTCCATACCATTGACAGCACCTCCATAGCATTGACAGCACCTCCATAGCATTGACAGCACCTCCATAGCATTGACAGCACCTCTATAGCATTGACAGCAACTCTATAGCATTGCCAGCACTTCTGTAGCATTGCCAGCACTTCTGTAGCATTGCCAGCACTTCTGTAGCATTGACACACCTCTGTAGCATTGACAGCACCTCTGTAGCATTGACAGCACTTTTGTAGAATTGCCAGCACTTCTGTAGCATTGCCAGCACTTCTGTAGCATTGCCAGCACTTCTTTAGCATTGACACACCTCTGTAGCATTGACAGCACCTCTATATCCTAGACAGCACCTCTCTATCCTAGACAGCACCTCTCTATTCTAGACAGCACCTCTCTCTCTATCCTAGATAGCACCTCTCTATCCTAGACAGCACCTCTCTATCCTAGACAGCACCTCTATCCTAGACAGCACCTCTCTCTCTATCCTAGACAGCACCTCTCTCTCTATCCTCGACAGCACCTCTATCCTAGACAGCACCTCTCTCTATCCTAGACCACACCTCTCTATCCTATACAGCACCTCTGTACCCTTGTTCAACCCCCTCCTCCTCCCCTCATTCTTCCCCTTCTTCTCTGCCTTTACATACACTCAGATATCAGCTTCCACTAATTAGCATCTCCATAGAGTCTGTATCACTGTTATTTATTTGTATTGAAATTTTGCTTTGTCTTTTAGCCGGCAGCAGCTCATCAGAGACAGACAACTCTGATTTGATTTTCCATAAAGAGTTCTCCACCTTACGCTTTGTGCTGGGCAGCACTCATCTTCACATGTCCTCAACTCTGTACCATCGGGTGTCAAAGTTCATCGCCTGCGCTATGAACCAACAGTACCAGCCTTACAGCAGTGCCAAGCCAAGTGGGTTTCTCTTTGTGGCTTTAGCTTGGTTTAAAGTTTATAGTTATCCTGAACTATGGATGTGAATCATGGACAGTTAGATGATTAGTGAAGGGTTATTTAGAAGAGGCAGAGATGTGGTTTTGCAGATGAATGATGAGAATATCCTTCTTCTTCTTCTTCTTCTTCAGCATTCCAAGCCCTTGAGGTTCATTGCTGTAGATATCACCCACCTCCAATCATCTTTCTGGTTGGCCTTCTATTTCCAGTTGGTGACATCAAGTGTTTCCAGGTCTGCCTGGATGTTATCCCTCCATAGTCTTCTTGGTCTGCCTCGTGGTCTACGACCATTCAACTCCCTCGTGTAGACAGTTTTTACTTCTCTGTCATCTGACATTCTTTCAATATGCTCTTCTGATTCTCTAGCTCCTGCAGCAGGCTTTGTTCTATACATAGTGGTATTAGCTTTTCTTTAGAGTAAACAAGGCAGGTTGAGAAAGGAAACATGCTGCATAGGCAGCAAGTAGACTGTGCAGTATTGTCTAGGTTGTGTGCTGTGGAGAGGGGGAACTTCATTCCCATTTCTCCTTACAGCACAGTATACCACTGTCATCTCGGAAAACGGAAAGCTGCCAGCCAAAGAACAAATATGCCTTCTCCTCAACTACGACCTATGCGACTTGCTATCATCTCTACTTATGACCACAAAAAAATAATTAAATCATCATCATCAGTTTCTACTTCTGCTGTTAAGAGTTGTGGGGAGGAATAGATAGCGATCCATTGCTTGATGGGCAACAATGGCTATTACAATTCTGTGTCGATGTAGAAGCTCTTTAATGTCATCAATCCATCTTCTTCTAGGGCGGCCTCTTGCTTTCAGTTCAGATCTTTTTATGTGTAGCACCTGCATTGGTAGTTGTTCTGGCTACATTCTTACTAAATGACCAAACCATTTTATCTTCTGTTTCTCAATGAATTTGCTGCATGGTGTTGTTCCTTCAGTCTGTCTGATAATATCATTTCTAACTATGTCTTGGATGGTTAAATTGGCAGCTTTTCTCAGGCATCTCATTTCACACATGTTAATTTTACATAGGTTAGCCTTTAATTTCCTCCACAATTCTCCGGCAATATCATAAATAAATAAATAAATAAATAATAATTTCAGGTTGCATTTTTGTTTACAGTACGTACAATGGAGTTCATTTATGTATTTTTCACATTATGTACAATGTATGTAGATTGCATTTTTGAGTTGCTTGTGCAATTTTAACCACCCGTTTGAATAAAAATAGTGTTGAAAAATATAAACTCAATTTATCACCTGTTTGACTTATTACCTGTTTGACTTATGACCTGTTCGATTTATGACCTGTTCGACTTATGACCTGTTGGACTTATGACCTGTTTGACTTATGACCTGTTTGACTTATGACCTGTTAGTCAGAACAGAACTCGGTCATAAGTCAAGGAGACTTTCTCTCTGTCTTTTTCTCCCTTTCTCTCTCTCTCTCTTTCTCTCTCTCTCTCTCTCTATATATATATATATATATATATATATATATATAAATATGTAACAGGCACTGACCTTACCAGTGAAGACCGCTCAAAGCCAAGTGAAGAGCAGATTAAGTCCTTGGAAGAATTTATTCCCACCCATCTGCTGCACCTGATGATCATCAGCCCAACAGTTACCATCCTCAGTGCCGAACATCCTCACTGTGACGTGACTAAGAAGAGCTACAAGAGTCGTCAGAAAAAGAGGGTTAGTTCATCAGCTTCATCTTTTCTCTACTCCTGGAATCCTCACCGGTGCTACAGAGCCTGTGCACTGTGCTGAGCTTCTTCGGACTCAGACTTGAGTTAGAAGAAGAACAGAGCACTTATGGGTTACTACCCGTGTGCCATGATGTTGATCCGTTGTTCAAAAACCTCAAAAACTTTACTCCTTGCAGCATCAGGGCAGGAAGAGATCTCTGGATTGGACCCTTCTGTTCTCTTCATATATTGTACCTTTCAGTGTCTCTGTTGTTTCTCCTTCTTTAGCATGGCTGACTTCGTTTCTGTTATCGCTGTATCTGTATAACATTGCTGTCTGTACTAATCCTAATCATGAGCCTCTCATATACTGATCCTCATGTCATCAACATCATCATCTTATTATGCCATTATTTGTCACACTGGGCTCACAGTCTAGTCCTCTTTTCACTTATATCCCTTCGAGTGTGATGCATAAAATCCAGGCCAGCGTCTTTGGCCTCTCTCAACAATCTTTATCTCAAGAGTTTCTCTTGACCGTTTCCTTATTTCCGTAATTTGTTTGTCAGTTCAGTGCCTGTTTAGCATATAGTTTTATATAGGGTATATGTTTAATGACTTTAGACTTTTCAAAGTCAATTATTTGCGCAGCATAATTAATTTAAACCTCCCCTCTTTTTGCTCTGAAATCTTCCCTAATGGTTATTAATTCTTATAGCAGCTGTTTGCTACAGAAGTGGAAATTATGATGATGATGAAGAGAGAAAGAGGCGGGAGCCCGAAGACAACTTATCACAGACATCGGAAGGAGACAGTCATCATTTTTTGGCCATGTTATGAGAAGAGGGAAGATAGAACATGTTGTGACCACTGGAAAGATATGTGAAAGGAGAGATAGAGGAAGACAACGAGAGAAGATTCTTGACAGTCTTGTTGCATGGCATGGAGGTGTGTTGGCACACGAACTGATACATGCTGCAGGAGACCGCAGATTGTGGAGAGGCATGATCGCCCACGCCAGTCGGCAAGGCACCTGATGATGATGAGGATAATGATGATGAGACGATTAAGATGTTCATAACTGATCTGAACAAGAGATAAGAAAAATATGTCAGGACTGACTGACTTTTTACCCCACCAGTACATCACACAAGCGATAAACACCCGGTGACACAGAGTGCTACCATGCGGATGAGGACCACCCGTGGAGAGGTCCCAGAAACCTCTTTCAGCCGTTAGGCCATATCTATGCTCTTGCCATATTCAGGGACCCCCGGCAAAAGCCAGGGTGGGGCTTTAAATAATGAAAAATTGCATCCCACATGGGAATGACTAAATCAATATGTCAGGCAATATTTTTTTTCTCTTTATATGTTTGGTCTCCACAATAAAGGTTAGCTGCAGTGCACCATCCGCTTTCTTTGGACATATAACTTATTGAGGCCCCAGTCTCTTCCACGATGTGACTCTTGTACCACTGCTTGAAAGCCATGTAAATGATCCACTTAAAAAAATGGAATCAACCATTTGCGCAAAAATCAAACTCTAGAGGTTTTGAATTTTTGAACAAGGGATCAACATCATGGCACACGGGTGTAACCCGAATAACAAACGCAGGAACGATAAACAATCACAGTAGACCGTAATGCTTTGTCTAGAATACACAAACATTTAAGAAAGGTATCTGATTGGTAGATTCCATTGTGGAAATAGTCATTCACATAAATAATGTAGATTTGTAGAAGGGTACATACAGTACCGTATTTTTTCTTGTAAAAGGCGCCCCTGTGTATAAGACACCACCTTGTACAGGACAACCTGTATTTTGAGCTTAAAATTAAGAAATAAATATTTTAAACACATCCCGTGTATAAGACCACCCCAATTTTAAATTAAACATTTTTTAGAAAAACATATCGTCTTAAACACAGAAAAATACAGCATGCTGCACAATTTATTGCTTGTATCAAAACTTTGTGAATGCATTCAAAAGTTTACGATTCTCATGTACTAGGGTTTGATTTAGAGGGGGCTGCATGGTCTCAAGGCTTGGTGTCCGCCTCGAGTGCTAAAGGTTCCGGGTTCAATCCCTGGTAAGGGATGTTTTTTTTTTCACATGGACTTGGACTTCTAGTAATTCTCCCTGTTTTCTGGGTAGTGAGATCGGACGCGTGTATTGTTGCACACACAAAAATCTCTTGGCAGTTGGAAATCGAGATCGGACGTGTGTATTGGTGCACACGTAAAAAATCCCTTGGCAGTTGGAAATTGAAGAGAGTTGCCTAACGGCGCTGCCCGGGCACAATTTTTAGTTGAAAATCTACCCAAAGTATTTCAGGATTCTCGCCGGTGCTACAGAGCCTGTGCACTGTGCTGAGCTTCTTCGGACTCAGACTTGAGTTAGAAGAAGATTGGAGCACTTATAGATTACTACCCGTGTGCCATGATGTTGATCTGTTGTTCAAACTTTAAACTTCAAACTTCTTTTTCTTCTCATAATTATTCTCAGTAACATTTTTATCACATGATGCCAAAGACTTATGGTACGATAGTCTTCAAATTTTAAAGTGCCTGTTTCTTTGGTCGAGCAATGAGTATAAATTGTAATAGGTCATTAAAAATGTATCCACTATTATAAATGTGATTTAACAATTTGTATTGTTATTTTAGTTCCAAGCTTCAGTTTCCTCCAATGTGATGTTGCCTGGCCCAGGTGCCTTTCCTTTCTCTCTGTGATGCAATTCATCCTCAGCTTATGCAGCCAGTATTGGTGGGCCTTCACTGTTGTCCTGCAAATATACTTCTGTTCTATTATCATCATACAGATCCACCACGTACTCTGTCCATCTTTTATTTATGTCACTTTGCCCCAATAATATTTCATCTTCTTTCAATTTTAAACACCCAGTGATGTTACATCTCTTCTTCCCTGTTAATATACTTATCTCTTGGTGCATGGTATGTGAGTCTTCTTTGATTTTTCCCAATCTCTGTGCACATCTGATTCAGTCAGGTTTCTTTAGCCTCTTTGCATTTGTTCACTATTTCTAGATGTATGCTTGAATATATATACTTCTCTGTAATTCTTTTTCTTTCTTCTCTTATCCATCAGCTGCAGAATTTCATTTGTTATCAATTTCATTTTTGCGACTCTGTGTGTTGGAAGAATTAGCTCTTTTGCATGTACAAACTTCTTTTTTAAATCAAATTAACAATTCTTTTTTTTAAATCAGGACACTAAGACTACAGAAGACCCTCTTCATCCTGCCCCTCTGGCGGCCATGGTGTTGTCTTCCACCCGGTTTGATCTTCAGATCACAAAGCCGATGTATGCGGAGCGGCTGGTCAAGCTGGTCACTGCCGTGGCCGGACCTTCTAGTAACTTGCTGCACCACTGCCATGTCCACACACAGATCAAGGTTTGTCTTTGTTCACCGTTGCTGTCCCTGACATCTGCCATGTCCACACACAGATCAAGGTTTGTCTGTCTTTGTTCACCGTTGCTGTCCCTGACATCTGCCATGTCCACACACAGATCAAGGTTTGTCTGTCTTTGTTCACCGTTGCTGTCCCTGACATCTGCCATGTCCACACACAGATCAAGGTTTGTCTTTGTTCACCGTTGCTGTCCCTGACATCTGCTGCTGCTGAAACTATTCCAAGAAGTCTTCTTTTTCTTATTTCTCTCCTCCTACTCAGCTTTACCATTTCATTTATTTCTTTGCCTCTTCTTTTTCAACTCCTCCTCCTCATCATTTCCTTTTCCTCCTCCATCCTCTGCTCCTGCTCCTTATTTATTTATTTCTCTGCCTCTGCTCCCCTTTCTTTCTTTCTTTTATTTATTTTGTTTGTTTTCTTTCTGCTATTCCTATTCCTTTCTTTCTGTGCCTCCTCCTTCTCTTCTCGCTCTTCCTCCTCCCTCTTTTCTTTTTTTTTTCTTCTTTCTCCTCTTCCTTTTTCTACTTGTACCTCTCCTTTTTTTCTTAACTCTGTCCCTTCCTCCTTTTCTTTAGTTTTTTTTTTTCAAGGATGGACAAGCTGGTGTTCATGAGGATATTGGTATTTGTGTCTGTGACTTAGGAGTTGTGAAAGCATTTTCATAATTCTGACATACTCAAGCTAGAGGTTAGTTTCAATCTTGTTGGTAGCAGGCCACATTGCCTTGATTTTGACAACATTATGAGCGTTGCATTCTCAGAAAGCAATGGCCAACTCTATCATCAGCCAGCATGTCTTTTATGGAACGTCACTCTCATCATGGCACGCATGAAAATATATCTGGCTTTAGCCAATTCTTCAGCCCTTTGTACTTTCATAGACAATGCACATTTAATGTCTTGTAGCTACATTCATGGAGGTCTCCCTTTGCCTCATTTTACTGAAGCTGTACTATCCATCACCGTACTTTCAGGACAAGATGCTGTTTATGAGCCAGTTCTCCTCTGTGTTCAGATCATGGAGGTTGTCTGTGTTTTTCTTCTTCTTGGTAAACTGATGAATGACAAATTACAGAATGTAAAAATTACACAACAGCTCATAAATATTATTAAACTGTCTTTAATCAACAGCTATTTAGCTTCCAGGCTGGGCTACAAAAAGCATGCTGGGATGGTAAGATGTCTCGACTGTTAACTCTAGTGCCTCCGTGCAGCTTCGCCCTCTACTCAAGGTCACTTGTGCTGCCCAAGTTGTGGTAATTAAAAAAATTGTTTCGTTTATGTAGTTTAGATTACAGTTTTTTGTTTGTTAGTACTGACAATAATATAACTAGAATGTACTTGAGTTGGAACCCACAGTGCAGAAGATATTTACTCTTTTAGTACCGGAAGAAGGTTTCCCAGGAATTGCCAGTTAGGAAATATCTGTGACTGAAATTCATCAGTGAATTACTTTCAAAACATAATATAACCATAGTAGTGATAATTAGACTAGCCATATTTCTTGAATGTGTTCTGACCACAACAAAAACTAAGAGAACATATTAAGCCATTGAGGTGGTTCAGCAGACAGAGGGATTCACACATCATGTGTTGTTTGGGACTCGGAGAGTTAAGGGAGACCTACAAATACAAGGAGAAGAGAACTGGAGACAGATGAATTCATAGATGATGTTGAATGAGCTGCGGGAAATAGCAAAGTAATGTAATGTCAAGAACCATTGTTCATGCATTTAGGCATATAGGGCATGTAATGCTAGACCTATATTTTAAATCAGCATCACTCCAGCCACCTTTACTTCCCAGACTTTACCTGGTACCCAATTATGTCTGGGTCGACCTGGGAGCCAAGGTAAGTTTTTGAAGAAGAAAAAATCCAGCTCAGTGTAAATTTGAACTGATGACCTTCAAGTTCGCAGTGGAGCAACTAGCTGCTACACCATGCCGGTAAGGCCAAGTCAGGGGAAACAAATTAAAATAAAAAACCTGCACAGATTGTGGCCGCAGCATTAGTTAAGGAACCCTAAATCCTGAGGCTCAAAGAAACCCCTGTTGCCTACAACCCAAAAGTAGTAAATACAGGAAAGTTGCCAGAAATCAAGTGGATGTCACTCTAGTCGCACTGCACATCCCACCATTTGAAATATGAGATATTAGACCTTCATATATTCTAGACCATGTTTCGGCTATGTTATGAGAATGAAAATAGAACATGTTGTGACCACTGAAAAGATCTGTGGAAAGAGAAATAGAGGAAGACAACGAGAGAAGATTCTTGACAGTCTTGTTGCATGGCATGGAGGTGTGTCGGAGCACGAACTGATACATACTGCAGGAGATCGCAGATTGTAGAGAGGCATGATCACCTACGCCAGTTGGCAAGGCACCTGATGATGATGATCCAGACCATGGCATATGATAGAGTTTGGTCAGTTTTCTTCTTTCCTGGGCATATTATTTGCTACCTCGGCAAGAACTGATGTATCAGATAGCAAATGCCTCTTGTAAATAACATATTTCTAGGACAAACTCCTGGTTACCACAGCAAGAAATAATGTATGAGATACCAAATGCCCTTTTAAATAAAATATGTTTCATAACAATTACCTCAGCAAGAATAATATGTATGAGATACCAAATGCCCTTTTAAATAAAATATGTTTCATAACAATTACCTCAGCAAGAATAATATGTATGAGATACCAAATGCCCTTTTAAATAAAATATGTTTCATAACAATTACCTCAGCAAGAATAATATGTATGAGAGACCAAATGCCCTTTTAAATAAAATATGTTTCAGGAAAAATTCCTCATTACCTCAGCTAGAATGGATGTATGAGAGACCAAATGCCCTTTTAAATAAAATATGTTTCAGGACAAATTCCTCATTACCTCAGCAAGAATGGATGTATGAGAGACCAAATGCCCTTTTAAATAAAATATGTTTCAGGACAAATTCCTCATTACCTCAGCAAGAATGGATGTATGAGAGACCAAATGCCCCTTTAAATAAAATATGTTTCAGGACAAATTCCTCATTACCTCAGCAAGAATGGATGTATGAGAGACCAAATGCCCTTTTAAATAAAATATGTTTCAGGACAAACTCCTCATTACCTCAGCAAGAATGGATGTATGAGAGACCAAATGCCCTTTTAAATAAAATATGTTTCAGGACAAACTCCTCATTACCTCAGCAAGAATGGATGTATGAGAGACCAAATGCCCTTTTAAATAAAATATGTTTCAGGACAAATTCCTCATTACCTCAGCAAGAATTGATGTATGAGAGACCAAATGCCCTTTTAAATAAAATATGTTTCAGGACAAATTCCTCATTACCTCAGCAAGAATGGATGTATGAGAGACCAAATGCCCTTTTAAATAAAATATGTTTCAGGACAAATTCCTCATTACCTCAGCAAGAATGGATGTATGAGAGACCAAATGCCCTTTTAAATAAAATATGTTTCAGGACAAACTCCTCATTACCTCAGCAAGAATGGATGTATGAGAGACCAAATGCCCTTTTAAATAAAATATGTTTCAGGACAAACTCCTCATTACCTCAGCAAGAATGGATTATGAGAGACCAAATGCCCTTTTAAATAAAATATGTTTCAGGACAAACTCCTCATTACCTCAGCTAGAATGGATGTATGAGAGACCAAATGCCCTTTTAAATAAAATATATTTCAGGACAAACTCTTCATTACCTCAGCAAGAATGGATGTATGAGATACCAAATGCCCTTTTAAATAAAATATATTTCAGGACAAACTCTTCATTACCTCAGCAAGAATGGATGTATGAGTTACCAAATGCCCTTTTAAATGAAATATATTTCAGGACAAACTCTTCATTACCTCAGCAAGAATGGATGTATGAGAGACCAAATGCCCTTTTAAATAAAATATATTTCAGGACAAACTCTTCATTACCTCAGCAAGAATGGATGTATGAGATACCAAATGCCCTTTTAAATGAAATATATTTCAGGACAAACTCTTCATTACCTCAGCAAGAATGGATGTATGAGATACCAAATGTCTCTTTAAATGTAAACAAAGCCAGCTGTCTGTTGAGTACTCGTGTGTTATCATCCTGGTTGACTCTTCCAGAGAAGCAAGGAGCGGATTATGTCTTGGATGACTCTCTTTTGGATGACTTATTTCCAGTCTCAGGTTGGTTTTTGATGTTGAAATTTTTTTTTCCTGGAAAAGCATAACTTAGAGGTGGTATATCAAAAAGAATCCACAGTGGCTAGCATTTTTACCTGCTGGACTAAAGATTTTGTGTTAAAATCCCTTTTCATGCTGGTAATTTTTTTAAATTGACCTAGGTTCCTAGGTCAGTCTGCCCACCAGGCATAGTTCTAAGACAATTTTCCTGCTGTGAGGTGGGTGGGGGGAGATGGACCACATCACCCATCAAGTGCATTAAATGCTAGGGGTTGGTTTGAGACATCCTAGAGGAAAAAAAATACAGTTACATTTTGTTGGGGATCTCAGCCAGCAGGTCTAGCAATTTGAAAAAAAAGAGTCAAGTTAGTTGAGAATCTCCCTGTGTGGGTTCCGGGGCCCTATTATAGGGAAAACAAGAATAGACCCACTGCCTAACCAAAAGCATGTTGTAAGAGTCGACTAATTGCGAGCTTCCTTCAAAGTTGGAGTGCATCTGCCTGAGAGGCAAGGAACCAGCAGTCTGCCTACAAATGAGTCAGATTTGTCAAACGGATGCACACGCAACAGGTTCTGGACAGGAATGCAGTCCAGAAGTGGATGAACAACCAGAACTTTCGGCCAGAGTTTACAGCTGGTGAACGCGAAGAAGAAGAAGAAGTTGAGAATCATTTTATCTGTATATTGGGTTCTTTCTCCCCTCAATGTCCAACACAGTTATCTTAAAAAAAAAGGAGACATATATCCCCTGTCTCGCCTGCCTACCAAGAGCAAGAGAAAAAAAACTTCACAGAGAGAACAAGATATTTCATTAAATTACTCAGAACAGGCATCATCATTCGTTTTACACTTATGGGGCTTTTGAGGAGAAACACCAATGGATCTGTCTGGAGTGCTGGGATGATAATCCTTGCTAATCATCTGTCTACCAGTCTTTCATTTCTGGGTCGCTTGCTGTGCAGTATCTTACTATTGAAAGTCACTATGCAGAGCTTTCTACTGCCCAAGCATAGAAAATTTGTGTCAACTTCTTTGTAAAGATTAGTGAATTCTTTTATATATTGTTTTTTATTGTAGCATTGTCCATTTATATTATGTGCTGATGAAGGATTTCTAGCTGCAGTGTTCATTTTGTCATTCCTGATTGTGTTTTTTTGCAAAGCTGACTTGTCCTGCCCACTTATTTAGGGTGGTGTTTTATCATGGTGACTTTAGCTAGTGAGCTAAAAGACATCCTCTAAATAGATCTTCTTGAACTGTTACATTCAGGCGAATCAACCCACCAGACCTACCCTCTATTGGAGATAGGTTTGTACGGTCTGGAGTTCAAGTCCTGTGAGAGTAGCTTGGTCAGTGCCTGTGTTGCCAGTTTGTCTTCCTTGAATGTGTTCCTGTACACACCTGGTAGGTTGTGTGTAAATTTTTGTATGATCTCATTAGATTTGATGTTTTTTTTTTTTTTTTTTGCAGTCAGATTTATTTTTAATGTTTCTTCTTCTTTTTCTGAGAAGATGTAGATGCGTTTTGCTCATTTACACCATGGCTGCGATATTTGCACCTTTTGGCCAACACATCCAACTTCTGCAAGCATTTACTATGCTGCTTAGCCTTCCTGGTTTTGAATGTCATGTTTGAGAAAGGTTGTGAAGAAAACCAGAAGAGACGAAGAGATTAGAACTTTTGGAATAATGCTCACCATTAAATTTAGTGAGAAGCAGAGGCTGAAATGGTTGGCGATCTAGGGGTAAGGAATCTAACGATGCCTAAGAGTGTACAGTGTAAAAATGGAAACCCAAAGAGGGAGACTTAGAAGATGGATTGAAGGAATTACTGACAGTCTCAGACCTTACAACATTGCAGAATATCAAGCAGCCAAGTTTTCCTTGGCTCTGCTATGTATCATTTATTAAATTGATGCAATTCAAAGACATACTAGTTATATTATTCTCACTGTCTTTTCTTTACCTATTGATTTAGTGGATTTTATTTAGTTCTCTCCCAAAACTCTCTATTTTAGTAATTCTTAGGTACAGTTTAATTCCCTCTGTTCTGCACAAGCCTCAGTTAATGAATGTTTGAAGTTCATTAGTAGTTTTTTTTAGTTGTTCTCCGTGTTTCTACTAAGTATAGCAGTACTGATTTGACCTTTTGAGTTAAACACTTTAGGTTAAGTATTTGTTTTCATTTCATAATTTTAGCACTTACCTACTAAACATGATATTAAAATGTGGTAATTTATATTACATCCATGTTTTTATTATTTGTAAATTTTAAGGTATTGGGGGAAAGATGTCAGCTATCCCCATTGTATATGGTCCAAACGACACATCATGCATCACTGAGCCAGATTTTTTCACTCTACCAACTCTTGGTAAAACTGAAGTTTGCTCAGACTGCATCACAGCTACCTTTCAGAAACCAAAACACACTGGTGTTAGTGAAGGTGGGAAAGTTGCAATTGATTTTTCTTCCTTATACAGCATCTATCCTCTTCTTCTCTTCCTTCTCTTCTCTTCCTCACCCTCCTCCTCTCCTCCTCCCCCTTTCCTTCTCCAGCTGCTCTTTATCTTTTTTCTTCCTCCTTCTTCTCCTGCTCCTTCTCCAGTTACTTTGGCAAAGTGTTGGGGTAAGTTTTAGGATAGTATGTGTGCTCCTTCTAATGAGTTGTATACGTTTTTCCTGATTTCTTTAAGGTTGTTATTGATGGTGTAGTGGTTTTTTTTGTTTTGGTATGTTCTTGCCTTACTCTTTGTTCATAATCTTTCTTCAGCATGTCTGTCTGTGTTCCATGCAACAAAGCGGAGTGGAGGAATCGAATGCGAGCCATATGTGACGTCTAACAGCGCACAGAGTATGATGATGAAGGTGATGATGATGATGATGAGGATGATGATGAGGATGATGATGAGGATGATGATGATAATGGTGATGATGATGATGATGTCTCTCTGTAGCAGTTGGTACCATTCTCAGCAGATAGCAAAGCCATTTCAACTTGCTGTTTCAAGAATTGGATGACTGGATCAAGTCCTAGTCTGGTTTCTTCATGTCAAAACATAACTCTTCTTGATACACTGGCCACTCTTCTTAGACATATCATCTCTGTTGTTTTGATTGTCAGCTGATTAGTTGTAGTAAGAGTGAATAGGAGGTGAAGAAAAGAAAAAACACTGGCGTTGGATAGGATACATGTTGCCAAAACCTGAGAACAATATAAGTAGAATGCCTATACCCACATGGGTATAGAAATAAAGGCAGACTAAAGCCCCCCCCCCCCCCCCCCCCCCCAAAAAAAAAAACCCACACGCACACAACAATAAATACACACAGAGAAGGAAGATAGAGAGAAAGATGAAAAGATTGGAAGAACAAGGAATGAGCTGTGTGTGATAGTAAAATACAAGAGTGACGTGGCATGATTTAGTAAAATGGCCATTGATAGGTAAAGGAAGAGGGAAGGGGGATCGTGATAAGGGTCCATGTTTGACACTGGAGGCTTACAGAAACATGGTCCTTCAAGGTTTGACTTGGCTATTTTATTGCGCCTCTTATTTATGATTTGAGAGCCAATTACTGTGTGTCTTTAGTGAGTTTTGATGTATCTGTACATCAGTTTTTGGCCGTATGCCCAATGTATCAGAACTTGAATTTTGCACGCAGATCTGTTTTACACATCTGACTTATTTGTGCGCAGACAGTTGGTTCTTTGCCTCTCAGGCAGATGAACTCTAACTTTGAAGGATTCACCCCCAATGAGATGCCTTTTACTAAATGCTTGTTGGGATGCAGGTAGTGAGTCTCTTCTGTTCTTCTCCAAATGGGCCCAGGAACCCACACAAGAAAGTGTCATCATCATCATCATCATCATCATAAACCACTTCTGCCGTTGAGCGTCGTGGGGAGGAATTTGCGATCCAGTGCACGTTGGCTGCCACTGGCTATTGTCATGCTGTAAAGGCGTATAGTGTCTTTAATGTTGTCGATCCATGTTTTCCGCGGTTTGTGATGGTATTTGATCTTGCTGCATTCTAACGAGATGGCCAAACCACTTGATCTGCTTTTTCTCGATGAATCTAGTACAAGGTGTCGTTCCCACAATTTGACTGATAGTTTCAAGAAAGTATCAATGGCATGAAAAGTTTCTTTTATATAATGTAGTTATATGCTACATATAGCTACCGTCTTAGAATTTTATGCATTCTGCCCTTGAAAGGGCGATCGGCTGATTGTGTTGTGATTTATAGCTGGGCTGTTTCCTATGTAGTTTCAGGAGCCCCACTGTGGGGAGAACAAGAATAGTCCCACTGCCTACCCAAAAGCATTTTGTAGGAGTCGACTAACGGGGAGCTTCCTTCAAAGTCGGAGTGCATTTGCCTGAGAGATAAGGAACCAGCAGTCTGCATACAAATTATCCAGATCTGTTAAACAGATGTACACGCAACATTCAGGTTCTGGAACAAGACTAAAGTCCTGAGGTGGTCAAATAACCCGAACTTTCCGCCAGAATTTACAGCCGGTGAACATGAAGAAGATAGCTGGGCTTTGATTCCTGTATCTTACAGCCCAACACATTCATTTCCAGCAAATTCTTAACTAATCACCTTATCCCATTTATGGCATGCTTGTTAAATGGTAGTAGGTCACATTTGCATATGTCCTTACAGCATACATAGCCTTGACCTTCCTAGAGATCTGGTCTCTGTTACCATGTCATCATGCAGAAATTGCCACTAGAATTGCAATTATTACCTGTGCTTACCTGTTACTTCTGGCACAGTGTTGGTTATCTTTCAGGTCATATTTGCACACGTCCTTATAGCGTATGTAGCCTTGGCCCCTTCATAGAGATCCATTCTCTGTTACCAGGTCATCGTACAGAAATTGCCACTAGAATTGCAGTTATTACCTGTGCATACCTGTTACTTCCGGCGCAGTGTTAGTTATCTTTCAGGTCACATTTGCATGTCCTTAGAGCATGGTGTTGGCCTTCCTGCAAATCTTTTCGCTGTTACCAGTTCACCATTAAGGAATTGTCACTAGAATTGCAGCTCTTAACTGTGCTTACCTATTACTTCCAGCGCAAGCTCTTGCCCTCGTGGACTGCCAGGGTTTATGTGTGTGGCTAGACCCCAGCCTGGTCACCTGGTTTCACTACTGCCCACAACCCAGACCTGGACGCAAGAATGAGCATCCACCAGTGACGCTGGACTTGTCTCTAGCACAGATGACATCTCCGCTCAATGCTGTGTCAAATGGTAATTCTTTTCTTTTTTAATGTTGACATCTCATGCATTGAATATTCTTCTTCTACCTTCTGTCCTTATATTGAGGATATGCCCTTAACAAAACTCATGCTAAATCATTCTGTCGTTCACTATTGCATGCGGCTCCTCCCCAATTTTTTTTTTTTTAAACTTCACTGTCTTAGCTCCCTTCTGGATGAGTTTTATTGTATTTTTTGTTGCTCACATTAAATGTTATGTTTTTAAATGCTGTGTATTTAAAATGTTTCTTCTTGTGTTTATCGTTGGATAAGATGGAGACGAGGATCTCCACAGTGAAGTGGTCAAGTAATGGATTTGTTTTACAGTTTGGTTCATAAGTACAATGTTTACAGATCACTGGGGATTGTTGCTGGAGCTATGGGACTCATGCTTTGTATGATGCTCATGGAAAGCAGCTAGCTGTTCTGCAGAGAGAAACCTAGCCATATTGGATCAAACCTGGTGCGGTGAAGTTGATCTTCTCGACTTCAACCTTTAAATAAAATGGAGACAGTGGGCATGTTTTTTAAGGAAAGTTTTGTCCCGGCTGCTGATTCATTTGATGATGAGTGTGTCTGTCAGGAATACTGTCAGTTGGTAATGACTCTTTGAAGGCTGCCTTATGCATTAACTGCACGTGCGTGTTGCTGGTTTTTTTAGGACTACTGTCATTATCACATTCCATTTGCATTTCTGGTTTCAGACAGTTGGTAATTCTTCTTCTTCTTCTTTTGCTCACTTGAAATACATTATCTTTATCTGTAGAGTTGCCTCTAGTATAAACTTCACTGTCTTTTGTAATTTACTCAGTGACCCGTAAAGTTTGGCTTGCACCGGGTTTCTCTTGGCTAACAGTTTTGCCTTGGTATGTTGTATTTGGGACAATCTTGGAAGATGTGATCCATTATCTCAGGTGCCAATCCACAAGTGCACATGGCTGATTCACCAATTTTACATTTTGTGTACATGTGGCTGCAAAGTTTATTGTGTCCTGTTCTAACTTGCTCTGGTCTGTCCATAATATGGTAATCGCTTTGTGCCGGTTTTGATTACTTTCTGACTGATTTGATTTTCTCTTCTTCTGTTGGTAAGAGACTGTTACGCCAGGTTGTTCTTCATTTGCACCTTCCTTAGCTAGTTTATCAGCTCTTTCATTTCCGGGAACTCCACAGTGGAATGGTGTCTTTGCATAGTTACCTTACACCGGTTGCCTAGTTTCGAGAGTAGTTTCCGTATAACAGGTAATTTTCCAGATTTAAGTACCTGAAGTACTGCTCTGTCAGGAATACTGTCAGTTGGTAATGACTCTTTGAAGGCTGCCTTATGCATTAACTGCGGATGCGTGTTGCTGGTTTTGTCAGGACCACTGTCTTTGTCACATTCCACAGGGGACATTGATAAATATTTTTTTGTGGACTCAGTGCCCCGAAGCTGGAGCCACAACTAACAACTGATTTAATCTGAGGAGAATTAAACTTAAAAACTTATTGGCTGTGGCAAACTTGATGGGAAAAGAGTGATAGGAAGACAAAGAGAAAAATAACTGGAGGGCTCTATTGCGTGGTGTAGATGAGATAAGAAAACAGACATGATTTGAGACTGATGATGGTATCACATGGCCAACCATGACCGCCAGTGTTATGTTATCATTTTATCTCATTTTATCACTCTGACATTTCTCTCTGTGTTTCTGTGTCAATCTTTCTCAAAATCTGCATTTCTATCTATGAGTCTGTCTGTCTGTCCCTCTCTGTCAGTGTTACTGTCCCTGTGACTATCCCTTTCTGTCATTCTCCCTCTCTGTCTGTCTCTATCTTTCCATCTGTCTTTTTCTCTGTGTCTGTCTGTCTGTCTGTCTGTCTGTCTGTCTGTCTGTCTGTCTGTCTGTCTGTCTGTCTGTCTGTCTGTCTGTCTGTCTGTCTGTCTGTCTGTCTGTCTGTGTCTTTCTCCCTTTCTGCCTACCCCTCCCTCTCCATCTGTATATCTTTCTGTGTCTGTCTTTCTCCATTTGTCTGTCTCTTCCTCTCCTTCTTTCTGTTTTTTAATCTTTTTTCCTCTCTGTGTCTATACTTGTCTCTTCCTTTCTCTCAGTTTTCTTTCTTGTTTGGTCTGTCTGTCTGTCTGTGTGTCTCTGCCTGACTCTGTCTCACCCCTCTCCCTTTCTTTCTCTTTATGTTGTCTCTGTTGGCCTGTATTATCTTAGTCACTCTCTCTTTCTGTCTGTCTGTCTCTCTCTCTCTCTCTGTCTTTGTGACCCAGTTTGATGAAGGAAAACTCTATTTTGTGCACTATGTTACATTTCCCCAGCATCATTACACTCCGCTAGCTCGCCCTCTCACCCGGGCAGACACACAGCATCCATCACAGCTCCCCCACATCTGGGCAGGCCAACATCCATCCTAGAAGAAGACAGTGAGGATAAAGGGAAAAGAAAAAGTGACTCTGAAGAAAAGACCCTGGGCAAACTTCTGGCACAATACTTTCCCCTGATCAGAATGTTGCATATTCAGGTGATCTTCCCTAGCGGATTCTGTGTTGATAAGAATGATAGATTGATTGAATGAATGAATGAACAAATTTAATTGTCAAAGGGATATAAATTGGGCACACAGTACTGTATTTTATCTATAAATCATATGTTCTTTGCATTAAAATAAAATGAATATAAAGGAAACACGCACAAATGACCAGTTATCAAAGGGGAACATTGGGGAAAGCCGTCTTAATGCATTCACCAGCTGGGCATCTTCAAGTGTGTGAGGTCTCCACACAGGGAACTAAAGTGTTTGTATCTGTGTCTTTGATCAGTCACATGACTTTTCTGAGTGGGTGCTAGAGTTAATGATTCTTTTTCTTTCTGTGATACTTGTTGATAAAGGCTTCACTCGAGATGTTCAGTTTTTCTACATGTCCCCCCCCCCCCCCACCTCCAACCCCCACCCCTTTTCTCATTAGACTCCTAGTTTCAGCAATTTCTTAACTTTATATAGTTCTATTATGTCATTGGAGGTTACCCCAAAAAAATATAGAGGCAGTTTTAACATATGGAAGTGAATTGAGACAATTAATTAACAAGAAAAAACTTTATGAAGCCTCTGAAATATGGTTTTACTGAAGAATCATTAGAATACCTTGGACAGCCAAAAGGAGCAGCCCAGATGTTTTGAAAGAGGCAAGTGCTCGAAGGTAACTTACCACAAACATCAGAAAGGGAAAGTCATCATTCTTTCATCCTCTTACGCTCTTATGAGAGGATGGAAACTGGAACATGTTGTGAACACTGGGGGGAAAAAACCTGTAGACGAAGAGACAGACGAAGACAACAAAAGGCGATTCTTGACTGTCAGCTTTTTTGTCATGAGAGCGTCAACAAGGAAAATGATACAGGCAGTTACTTGCAGATTGCAGGTTTGGAGAGTTATGGTCGCCCATGCAGGTTGACAAGGCACTTGATGATGGTGACTATAGTTCTATCATTGCCATATTGTTTTATGTTGATGAAGGCTTTATAGCTACAACAGTAATTTTGGTGCTACATTAATATCCTACCCCAAACAGGGGAAAACCACAGGTCACAGGACAGTCTAAAATTTTGAGGGGGTGGTAGATAGGCTGCATGCAGTCGTGGGACCTAGGCTGCACTCTCTGGTGGGACATTAGTTGGTTGGGGTTAGGGCCAGTTCTAGATGTTTTGTGGTCGTTAAAAGCATCAGAAAGCTGGGAAGCCCAGTCTTACCACCCTCTAAAATGTTGGACTGTCCTGTGATGTCATCTGGGGTAGGATATTAATAAAGAACAGTAATTTTGTTCCCTCATGATTGTGCCTTTTTTGGAAAACTGTCTGATGTTATTTTCCATTCTGTTAGATTGTGTCATCATGCTAAGTTGAACGCTATATTTCTTTTGTTACATAAAGGTGGATATCAAGCCAAGTGCAATATTCTTGCCGAAAACAAGCATCCCCAACTCTGAATCCAGCTCAGATATTTTGGCCCTTGTTCATCAGGCCCGGCATTCAGGCCGTCTGTCGGACATTGTGGTGATTTGTGTCCCGAGTCTTGTGGTCACCAGCACTATGACCAAACCGATGAGTTTTGTCCAGGAGCTGCCCGTTACTTCTATACAGGGGTCTCTTATAGGTTAGCCGTGTCTGTTTTTATGTGTTACAAAATATAGCATGGGGTGGGGGGGGGGGGGGGAAGACTTTTGAACCAAATATCTTTTCTTTTTTTTAAAGACATGTTGATGTCAGACATATTGACTGCTCATTTGTACTGACTGACTGTGATTTTCTACCCCACCAGGACATCACACAAGCGATAAACACGCAATAACACAAAGTGCCACCATGTGGATTAGGATTACCCGTGGATTGGTCCCAGAAACCGTGTTCAGCCTTTAGACCATTTATGGTCGGGCTATATTGCGGCCCCTAGCAAGGGCCAAAGTAAGGTTTCAAATAATGAAAAATTGCATCTCACAAGGAGATGACTAGATATGACACATTTGTAGACCAAGAAAAAGCTTTCGATCGAGTTAATAGGAGTAAATTATGGAAGGTGCTACAGTATTACGGAGTAAACAAATATGTTATTAAATTGTACAAGAGTTTCTACGTGAACAGTCAATACACAGTTAAAACAAATACAGGAATGTCAGAAAAGTTCTACATTAGATCTAGAGTGAGACAGGAGTGAGTTTTATTACCACCACAGTTCATCACATACATCAATCAAATGTGCAAATCAGCTCACATCAGCAAGGGGGAAGACATTGGAGAAATCAATTGTTTTTTGCCAATAACCAGGCAATCGTAACACCAACAGCAGTACAACTACAAGAATATATTAGTAAACTCCACTCAGAATGCAACAGCTATGATATGAAGATGAACGTAGAGAAAACAGAAGTGATGACATTCTCCAGAAAAGGAAGAACCACCAATATCAACATGGATGAACACCAGTTAAAGAAGATGAAAGATTTTACATATCTGGGGATAAAATTTTTTTTTTTTTAAAGAAGGAAGAATTAGCAAATAAATCCAACAAAGATTCAGTAAAGCCAATAAAGTTTTAGGCCAAATGGCACAAATTTTGAAATGCAAGCATGTGAATATCAACACTAAAAGAACATTGTTCAACGCAATATTCTTATCAACTTCATGCTGTCAGTGTCAAAAATGGACACAGTCTTCAGAAGACAGAAGGAAAATAGTCACGACAGAAAGGAAATATTTACATACTATACTAAAAGTAACGAAGACAGATCGACTTAGGAATGATGATATCAGGAGGAGAGTCGGAACAGAACTAATACTGAACTTTGTAGGTAGATAACATATAAAATGGTTTGGCCATGTAACAAGATTGGAATCAGACAGGGCACCACAGAGAGCAGTGTTTTACAGATACATTGGTAACAGAGCCAGAGTTTGACCGTGCATAAGATGGACCGCAGAAATATCAGAGACACTGACAAATACTTTCTACGGAGCAAACAGAAGTACCTATTCCAAAGATCCCTTCCTGCCCAGACGCCGCGAGGCATCCCAAGAGTCGAGAAAAGAAGAAAGAAGATGATGTCAAATTGACTCTAAAGCCTCAGTGATAAGGTTCATGGGGTCATGGCATGTGTTACCCAATACATATTTGCTTTAGGCCACGGGGAATATATTCCATTTAATGCTTTGTATATCTTCATATATTTCAACAGAAATTGTTTGTAAATATAGATAAATAAATTGAAAGAAAATTCAATACTGACATGTGTTAACTCTTTGAGTCCCAAGAAATGCATCATACGTTTATAGGTTGCTACCTAGAAGCCTAATGAACGCATGATGCGCCGATTTTATTACTTTCTTTACTACCTCCTGGGTCTGTGATGCTAAACCCCCTGGGACTCAAAGAGTTAATGACTGTCTTTGTGAAGGATTTTTATACTTTCTTAGGGTATTGAAAAAATTTTTTTTTTTAATGTGTTAAAAATGCATTAACTTGGCGAAAGGATAAAGGTAACAACTTCTTATAATATAATAATTTGAAGTACTGAACCACTTAAACCTGAATGCCTTATTCCTTTCAGGAGAAAAACTGCCTTGGACTGTGAAAATCTCAAATATTTGCGCCTACTCGTTGCATTCTGGGAAGCAGGAGACATTGTTCTTCCTCCACCCCATGGATATTGTGTCCACAGTCGCAGTTAACTGCAAGTACAGTCCCCCGACATCAGAGACCATCAGTACCCTGGCTTTGTGCCTGCATGTTGATGTCGGCCAGCCTCGGATTGACATTTCTGCTAGTCAGGTATTTACTTTTGTAAACTTTTAATTTTTTTTTTTAAACAGCTGTTTTTATACTACAATTTTTTTTTGTTTTTTGTTTGAAGGGGTGAAGAGCAAGGAGATAATTTTAACCTCAGGATTTAGGACTGCATGTTATTGCAGTTCTGTCTATCTTTTGTCTTTCTCTGCTTAATACTGTTGGGCATTCCAGGCATGGCAAATGATTGGTTTAGGGGGTAGTGCATGCTTGTTAACTTGCTGCCTGGTGATATTTTGTTGATTTTCAGCATGTTGTTAACTCCATCTCTACACTTTCTTCTTAGCCTTCCTTTGCCTCTTGATGTTTCTATTCTCATTTGTAGGACCAGTCAGCCACCTGCCGAGAGCATCACACAAAGCACAAACTCCGTAGCTCAAAAATACGTGTGATGGCACCAACGGTCCGGAAATCCCATGCTCTAATTGTGGAAGATTTTTCTTAACATGGGCAGATCATGCTACTCACACTCACCTTCATCACAGGCTGTGATTTCCATGCCTCCCTATACACAGTGTAAAACGATCGTCTGGAAAGATGTAAAGATGCAAACAGCAGTGACATGTATATATTTTTCAACACAGTATTCTTACCAACGCTATGCTGTCAGTGTCAAACATGGACATTCTCTTCAGATGACAGAAGGATAATAGTCACGACAGAAATGGAATGTTTGCGTACCATGCTAGGTGTAACAAGGAAAGATCGACTTGAGAATGAAGATTTCAGGGGGAGAGTCAGCACAGAACCAATACTGAACTTTATGTGCAGGCAGCAAATCAATGGTTTGGCGATATAACAAGATTGGCATCAGGCAGGGCACCACAGTGAGCAATGTTATACAGATACAACGGTAACAGAGCCATAGGTCAACCACGCAAAAAATAGACCACAGAAATATCAAAGACACTAAAAAGTACTCTATGTGAAGCAAACAGAAATGCCCATAGCAGAGATCTCTTCCTGCTCTGACCACGTGAGGCATTTCAGGAGTAGAGAAAATAATAATAAGAAGATTTACATATCATCCAAAAGAAACCCCAAGCGAACATTGGTTAGAGGCTAAAGGTGCTGTACTGGATTCCATACGTGATATTGATTAAATTGATTGTACAGGACAGAACAGAATGGAGAAATAGTGTGCCAGCCCTGCGTGACATGTATTGGTAAACAAGACAGTGAATGTTTGTCCACGTATGCACACACACATACGCACACACACATATACACATACACAAGCATGCACACGCGCACACACACACACACACATGCACACACACACACCCACACACACATCTCAGTATCAGTAATGTAGGTGAAATGTAGGTGAAGTTCGCTGATCTACTTTTTGTACGGTTTCAAATCTTTCCCATAATAATGTACACTTGTGTGAATCTGCAGCTTCATCTCTGTTTAACTACAATGGCCATGGTCTCTGGCCTGGTCAGCAATGCTGGCAAGATGATAGAAGACTGCGTGAAGCTCTTCACTCCCAGACTGGAAGAGAAGCCTCTGCTGACTCCTTGTGCTCCTGCCAGTCACAAGAAGTCAGTCTCCTCAACTTACAAGATTGAAAGTATCATATCAGGTAACCTATTTTGGTGCTGTGAAAAGCTCAGGGCTGTTTATTTACAGAGAGATTAGCTGTATGTCTTATGCAGTAGTGCATGTGCGCGTACTGATTTATCGTGACTGTTGCTTCCATCAACTGTGAAATGCACTTCTAGTTATGGTGTTGGCATTGGCACCTCTGGCAGCTGCCTAATGTATTTAATGCATATGTGAGCTGTTGGATTTTGTTAGGACTGCTATCTGTTTGACCTTTCACATGGTACAGTGATTGGTATTTTGTGTTGTTTTGCTGGCACAAGAATGGAGCAATTATAGGGTGACCCTTTGTTCTGAAGTTGACATCATGACTAATATCCAACCTCAGAGCCAGAGAGAGAGAGACAAAGAGAGAAAAGGGGAAGGAAGAAAGAATGAGAAAGGGGGAGAGGGAGATAGAGAGAGAGAGAGAGAAAAAAGGGGGATTAAGAAAGAATGAGAAAGGGGGGAGATGGAGAAAGAGAGAGAGAGAGAGAAAAGGGGGATTGAGAAAGAAGGGGGAGGGAGAGAGAGAGAAAAGGGGGATTAAGAAACAATGAGAAAGGGGAGATAGAGAGAGAATTGGAATTAATAAAGAATGTGAAGGGGGTGGGGGAGAGGGAGAGAGAAAAAAACTGAGATTAAGAAAGAATGAAAAAAGGGGAGGAAGAGAGGGAGAGAGAGAGAAAAGGGGATTAAGAAAGGGGCAAAGAGAAAAGTGCAGCTTGTGAAAGGCGAGGCAAGGGTCAACCACCACGAAGATGGATACAAGACATTGAAGATGCATTGGCATTGAAAGCACATGGGGCTGGAGAGCCGGCTAGAGAAAGGGATACTTTGAGGCGTGCCATGAAGAGAGCGATGTTCTGTCAAGGACTTGCTGATTGATGATGAGATCGTCATGGAGGCCAGAGGACTGAGCCGTAGCGTAGAAACATTTGTAATACAATAAAACTGGCAGTTAATCGCAAGCCACTTGCTAGCCCTTTTTTTGGGAGACAGATTTGGCCAGTGGGCCGCTAACTGTATAGCCCTCCGCTACACCATACTGGCTCCCTCTGTATACATACTTGCATAAATACATACCTGGAGAGTTTTTTCAAAGGCATAAATACTTGAGTCCTACGCCACAATTTACAGTTTTTTTCTTTTTAAATCATGCTCTCCCATCCATCTCCAGCTGATGTGACTGAGAACCTTACAGTGGACATGTCTGAGGACTTCTCCCA